ATATATATATATATGATTGTATAAAATAAATTGTATTATATAATATGTATATGTGTTTTTACCATATAAATACACACGCTCCCGGTACCGACAACATCAAAATGTAGGTGGGAAAGGTGAACCACCCACACCTGCCTCCACCCTCATTTACCCCACTCTAAGCCCTTAAGCAAGGCTCTTGGTCTGCACCATCTGCTCCACCGGGCGCCCTAGATGCAGCTCTCTGCTCCACACAGAAGGCTGTGGTAGCTCGGTGATCTGTAGTTGTGTCAGGAAGGACATCTGGAGTAAAAACAATTGCCAAGTCTTTATGCAACTTAGTTTGCTGTGGCGACTCCTGGAGAAGGAGCAGCTGAAAGAATAAAAAAAGTGTGTGTGTGTGTGTGTGTATTTTGTTCTTGTAATTGCATTACTTTGTGACTGTGCTGAAATAAACTCATCTTGAAAAAAAGGCCACCATCTAGAAATTTCAAATGGCAAAATTTGACAAATACCTCAAAGAGAATCATCACACCTAATTAGGCACTTGTATCATAATTTGCAACATTTTTTTCTATAATATATTTTATAGTATATTATAGTATACTATATATTATAGTATATTTTTGCTCTAGTTTAAGAAGTCATAAACAGTCTAATTTCAAATATTTGGTGTTATTTAAAATATACAATTTTAGTGAAGTTGTTTTTTAACCCATATACTTTGGTTGATTCATTTTAAATTTATTTCATTTATTTATTTTTTATATTAGTTGACAGCACTGTTCATTCAGCAAGTCATGTGTGTTCAGTATCACGCATGTCATAAAGACAATTGATTCCAGCCACAGAATCACTTCTCGCCTGTTCCTGGCCTGTCAGAGTGAAACTACGACTGTTCTCAACTGAATGGAACAACAGAGTGAGTGGCTTTTACAGGCACCCAGGGGACCGCCCATGAGGGCACCTACAGTGTAGTATTGCTAACTGTCTGAAGATCACCTGGAGTGCTTGATCACTTCTATGAATTGCAGATGCTTTAGTCGTGTGTTGTGATGAGCAGTGTTTGCTGCCGTAAAGCTATTATTAGGACTACATCAGACTTAATTAGCTTGATGACTGAAACATAATACAACCCCAGTTCGGAACATGTTGGACTGTTTTCTCCATCTTTACCTCCATCGTCTACCATTTATACATAGTTGGGTCGCGGAGGCAACAGGTCCAGGAGAGAAACCCAGATACCCTCTTCCCAGCGACACTCTCTAGTGCCTCCTGAGGAGCCCTGAGACATTCCCAGGCCAGAGATATATACGAAGGAAGCCCATTTTGGCCGCTTGTATCCAGGATCTTGTTCTTTCAGTCCTGATCCAAACTTCTTGATTACTGTTGAAGACTGGAACACAGACGGACCAGTAAATCAATAACTTTGCCTTTCAACTCAGTTCTTTCTTCTCTACGACTAACAGAAGCAACACACTCATCACTGAGAATGAGGCCCTGATCTGCTGGTCCATCTCCTGCTCCATCCTTCCGCTACTCATGAACAAAACAACCAGATACCTGAACCCCTCCACCAGAGGCAAATACTCTTCCCTGACCTGGAGGGGGCATTCAACCTGTTTTTTAGTTGAGAACCATTTGGGCTATTGTGCGAAATGCAAATAAAAACAGAATAAACAGGAATGCAGAAACAGAGAATGCAAATCTTATAAACCCATATTTTATTTACAATGGATCGTATAAACATTTAATGTTTAAACTAAGAATCTATACTATTTCATTGAAAAAGAGGGTAACTGAATTTTATGGTAGTAACATCTCCCAGAACTTTAAACAGGACTGTTATTGCCACTGTGAAGCATCCCCTTTTTCTTTGAACAACAGTTCAAACAACCCTCCTCCCCGAGGCTAGAAACTTGGGGGAGAACCACTGTTGTTGTGTTTAAAACCTTCGTATACAAGACATCTTGAATGAATCTTTGCCTGTGTCCAGTTAGATACGTAGATGACGGCTTGGGTTATTGTGTGAACTACTCTGTAGTGACCTGTTGAATTTAGACCTCTCTGTTAAAGCACAGCACTTGCAGCAGATTCTTTAGAGTTTCAGTGGATTGAGCTTGTTTCAGTGCGTGTTGCAGGTGGTTAACTGAATAGAGATTTGGGGAATTGAGCAGGTGGGTTACCACCTTGGGCTCACTGTCATGTTTCTTTAGCCATTACAAGGTGATGCGCTGCATGCTCTCATTTGTGTCATGTTGGTTCTCTATCTTCACTCTGCAGTGAAAAAAGGTCACAGCAAGCAAAGAGCTTCCTCATGGTGGTGTGAACCCAGCTGTTGAAGTATAGTAAGATTAACCTTTGTTCTCGCTTGTCAACTGTTTTTGCTGTCCTTCTTTACGATAAAATTTCTTCTGGTCAGCTTCTTTCTGCTGACTGTGTTGTTTTTTGTGTTTCTGATGTAGCTTCTTACACTTTGTAGCTTGTGAATGAAAATAAAAAAGCTTTTTCTAGGCCAGTTCCATCGTAAGTATTCTTGTTTAAGACAGCGATAATAGGAAAACAACCTCAGGCTCATTTTTATTGTACATGAAAAAAAAAAAGCTTTTAGTGTGTTGCTGCTCTTAAAAGAGTAAATCGTTTTTCTGCTCAGAAGCAAGAAAAAAAATGCTTCTTAATATTGTGTATGAGTTACTTTTAGAGCAGTAGTGTGAAAGCTGAAGAGACGAACAGGCTGGTCAAAGCTCAGCTGGTTCTGCTTATCGTCATCACCGGCTGTCCAAGACGAAAAGACAAAAAATGCTTTTTATATCTCTGTATGTGTGTTTGCAAATTATCTCATGAATCACTGAAATAATTTTAAAAGAAACTCAACAAGGGGTACGCCACTGTTCCTCGTCACGGAGAGATTTGCAAAGTGAATGTTTGTAGTTTTTAAGATGAGTTTTTCTGAACTGCATTTGAACCAGACATGCAACTAAATCAAGTCAAACTAGTCCAAGACGACCCTCTTTATGAGAAACACACACAAAAAAAATCCTATAACTCAGCAAATACTATAGATATTGAGCTCCAAATGTACGTGGTAGTACCCGAGTTTTTTCCAACAAGTACTTTGAGTACTACTATCTCAAACTATCCCACAATATTACATGAAATTTTGCATAATGTCAGTTCCAAGAATTGACTAAACAGATGGCAGGTGATACGTAGTCCTTAAAAAAATCCCAGGTCTTTAATTTAGCAGATATAAATATGTTTTAGAGCTTATTCGTGATCCCCGTGTGGGCGTGTTTGCTTTGTCATCACAGTAGCATTGACCCTGAGCTGGAGAGCAGGTGGTAGATGTCTTTCACCTGCTTCAAAAGGAATTATTAAAACTAGCTGCACCGGGGTGTGCGCTATGTAGTTCAATCAATAGGGCTGCTGAGACTTCATTTAATTTTAGTGCAACCCCCCTTCCCCCCACACCACACTAAAAATGTGATTGCATGTTGCAGTTTGTCTCATATATTATGTTGCCAAATGTTTTAGTCTCATAAAGGATTAGACGTCTTATAAGCAATCTCACACACACAAACGCACGCCCCCCACACACACATGCACACACACAAACCAAGCTTAAATCGGGATAATGCAGCCGAAGCTGTGACATCACCATTTCTCACGCCCTGATTGGCTGAGCTCCCTCCAGCCTCAGATGTTAGGATGAAACGGAGAGGCAGTGCAGCGAGGGCTCTGCTCATCCACACAGGGATGACTCTTCTGGACTGGAAAAACACAGGAAAAGGGAAGAACGGGAGTGTATATCACCCACTCCATTAGACTTCTCTGCTTTGCCATCTGTGTGTGTGTGTGTGTGCTGTGTGTGCAGGGGTCAGGAAGGAGGGGACATTTCCATCACAGCCCTCCAGCAGCTCGTTTGCTTTCACCCGGGGAAACTAGGCAGCCAGATCTGTTTTGCTTCCTGCTGGAAAAAGGGTGAACGGACAGCAGTGTTTTTATTTTGAGGGGTCAGTTTTTCCACTGTGGATCTTATTTTCTTACGCACGTATACGTATCATGGAACTCCTGAAATGCAGAGAAGGGCTGGAGTGTGGGATGTAGAATGGCTTTCTATAAGGATGTATCTGTCAGGAAGACTTCTTTAAATCTGGTGACAGGATTCTTTCAGTATCTGCGAGGTAAGTAGGACAGCAGGATTCTTGCTCTGTGCTAATGGTTTGGAGACCAAGTCCATCTTTGAACCTGCCATCATGCTGCTCAAACACAGCATCCATGTATTTCTGTTGACGTGCACATCTGTTTGCTTTTCTTCACTGGGCATCCCCTGTGCATGAGTGATGAAACATTTGCCTCTGGGTCACTGATGTTCTTTGCTCCCTGTACAGTTTTCGCAGTGCTTCCCTGAACACGTGATCGCTGTCTGTATTTCTGAGGGTGGATGTTTAAAAATGGCCACTCTGTGCGGTGTGCAGCAACCGGCGTGCATAACAGAGTGATAGAAAGCACCACTAAAGTGAAGAAATGCTCTGCTTTGTTACACATGATGCATAATGCATGAGGCATTGTGAATGAATATATTAATAGACCACAAAGGGGCCGGTGTGACCTAAAGAAGCACACATGGCATTTCTGAACACAGAGGGGTGGGGGGTGGGGTGGGGGAGGGGATTGTTGATGAGATGTGTTAGAAGAAATTTCTTCTATTCTCCTTGTATGGCCTCCTTCTGAAAGCACTTGTTAGGTCCCTTTGGTATCCGAGCACCAGCAAGTTTTTAATTCAGTTCATTTTGTTTCTATAGCTCCTAGTCACAAAAGAAGGTGTCTCCTGGCACTGTACAAAAACATTCACATACATAAAAATGTCAATTAGTAGAACTGTATTTAACTTGGAGAGATAGCCTGCTAGCATATAAGAAAGTTCTCCGTAAAGCTAGAACTGTGTATTACCGGTATTCATCTTTAATAGATGAGAATTAAAAACAACCCCAGGTTTATGTTCAGTATTATAGCTAGACTAATGAAAAGTCCTATGTCTGTTGAATCTTGTATCCCTACAACTATAAGCAGTGATGATTTCATGAGATTCTTTATAAATAAAAATATTTCAATTAGAGAGAAAATTCAAACCATCCTTCCTACTTTTGCATCTGATTCCCTGTCAGATGGAGCAACTTTGTAAATGCTACTAGTACCTGATTTATGTTTGGACTGCTTTTGTCCTGTTGAGCTCTCTGAATTGTCAAAAATAATAACTTCATCCAAACCAGACTGTTTAAAGAGGTATTTCCCCTAATTAAGGTCCACATTTTGGATCTGCTTTATTTGTCTCTAATGAATGGTTACGCACCACGGAGCTTTAAGAATGCTGTAATTAACCTTTACTTAAGAAACACAACATTGACTCAGGAATCCTAGCCAATTATAGACTTGTATCTAATCTAACTTTAATCTAAAAAATTCTAGAGAAAATAGTTGCAGGTCAGTTGTGTGAACATCTGCAAAGAAATAATTTGAAGAGTTTCAGTCAGGGTTTAGAGCTTATCATAGCAAATAATCTGCACTGGTGAAAGTTACTAATGATATTCTCATGGCCTCTGACAGTGGACAGGTGTCTACACTGGTCCTGTTAGACATCAGTGCTGCATTTGATACACTTGATCACAATATTTTACTACAGAGACTTGAATATGATATTGGGATTACAGGAACAGCTCTATAATGGTTTAAATCATACTTCGTTGACATATTTCAGTGTGTAAATGTAAACAATGAATCTTATTCATGTACAAAAGTTGTTCATTGAGTTCCTCAGGGTTTAGTACTTGGACTAATACTTTTTACTTTATATATGCTTCCATGGGGGCTGAGATGGTGTAGAGGCAGGGCAGCCGGCTTGGGACCCGAAAGTCCCAGGTTCGATCCCCAGTCACTGCACATCACGTGGCGTCTCTGGGCAGCACACACCTCATCCCCAAAATGCCCCCCGGGCGCTTTCAATAGCTGCCCACTGCACCACCTGGTGGTGGATGGGTTAAATGCAGAGACTAATTTCGCCATTGTATGGAAACATACGGTGCTGACATTGTGATGATATTATTATTATTATTATTATTATTATTATTAGGTAAAGTTATTAAACAGCATGGGATAAATTTTCATTGTTATGCTGATGATACACAATTACATTTGTCCATGAAACCCAATGAATCCAATCAGCTACTTAGACTACAAGCATGTCTTAAAAACATAAAAACCTGGACATGTGTTTTAGCAAATTCTCATAAACCACTGAACAGGTTTTAATAAAATTATTGGGAAATAATCACTGGATGGACACAGACAACTGATTAACCTTTTGGAGTTTACCTGATTCAAGATGGCAGCCACAGCTAATTGATTTTAGCAAACACAAAACGACCTATAGCTCACTTAATTTTACAGAAATTGAGCCAAAGTTTGATGTGGTAGAGGCTGAGTCATTCACAAACACAAGCTCTGTGTGATGACACACCTAATGAATAGTAATAATAATAACAACAATAACAACAACAATAACAACAAAAACACCACTACTACTACTACTAATAATAATAATAATAATAATATCACAGGGGATAACACATAAAATTATTTTCAAAGTTTGACCACAGCAGCTACAGAATAACTAAGTTTCTGGTTAGTTTCAAACTGGCAGGTGATATGCAGTCCTTCAAGAAATGGGATTTGTATTTTTGTATGTACTGTACTGTATAAAATCTCTTATGTTGCCAGATCCCTACTTGTCACTAGAGTTTTTAGTTCAGGATTTGAACCGGTCACCTATCAGAATATGTTTTGAAGCAATCGTGTCGTTACATTAACTTTGTGTCTTGTGTTTTTCAGATGAGCAAGAAGCAGTGCAGAAGCGAACCTTTACAAAATGGATCAATTCTCATCTAGCAAAGGTGAGTGTAAATAACTTTTATTTTTTCTTCTTTCGGCTACTCCCTTCTTCAGGGGTCCCCACAGGGAAGTAACTCACACGAAGCTTGGCGATTGTTTTTATGCCCTTCCTGACACAACCACAGACCCCTGAGCTACCACAGCCTTCTGTGTGGAGCAGAAGGATGTCATCTAGGGCTCTCGGAGGAGCAGGTTGTGGGGGTTAAGAGCCTTGCTGAAGGGCCCAGAGTGGGGCAAATGAGGGTGGAGGCAGGTGTGGGCATTTCATTTTTCTCATCTACCTTTGATGTTGTTGGTCCGGGGAGTCAAACTGGCGATCCTCCGATCACAGGCTTGCCTCCTCTGACCTCTGTGCCACCATTTTTATTTAAACTGTATTTCTACTGTAGTTTATTGTTATTATTGTCTATTGTTATTGTTGTCTGTACTTTACATGTTCTGTCTGGAACAGGTCTCTCTTGTAAATGAGTCCTCGTGGCTCAGTGAGACTAGCCTGTATAAATAAAGGTTGAAAGAATCACTCCCCTGACTGTAAATTACCTTACATGCTATTTTAAAACCACTTAGTTGGATATTGTAGGATTTTATAGACTCACCAGAGTCCAACAAAACCTAAAAATAAATTGTTAGTCTCAAACTGTTCTTTGTTGACTTTGTCAAAGAACCAGTTGATGTTTAATTTCTCCATATGAATTTTTTCTTATTCAGATGTGCTTCAGGGCTGATGATCTATAATGCAAACTATAAAAATATGTTTTTGTGCCATAAAAAAAGCCTTCTTTAAACATGGTTCAAGTAAACTAGATCTACCCAGTTTCCTGTAAATAATGCATTATTATTGTGAATGCCAAGTCACTAATCACATTATTGTTTTTCATTTAAATTGTTTTGTCTTTATGTTTTGTTTTTGTTTTACTTTGAAATACCTCAGCGATCTTTCAGCTGTTTCAGACCTTCAAATTTTGAAACGTTCAGCTCTTTCAGGACATTACGGCTATTACTTTCGGTGTTGTAACTTTTATACATTTTCAATTTACATTACAATTTTTTCCTCATCGAAATACATCCTTCAAAACTACCAAAACAACTTTAGCATACTTGCTTTATTTTAACTTTTAGTTACTTTTTTGCAGGTTTTAGCTTCAGCTAGTTCTAAAAACTTCAGTGTTTAGCTACACTTTGTCTAGCTTTAGCTTTTAGGTACAGTTTGCTAGCTTCAGCTTATAGTTATTTTTTTGTTGCTTTACTTTTTGGTTAGTGTTTTGTTGGTTTTAACCTTCAGCTAATATCTTGCTAATTGTTGTTTTTAGGTACAGTTTGAACGTTTGATCATTTTGCTTTCAGTTTGAGATACAAGATAATCTCATAATGTCTAAGGGACAATTACCGGTAGTTTTAAAGCTGAACGGGACAATCAGTACACAGTTATTTAGTTTTGACACGGTGGCTCAGTTGGTAGAGCTGTTGCCTCTCCGCAAGAAAGTTGCCAAATCGAATCCCAGCTGTGTGGACCTTTCTAAGGTGGAGCTTGCATGTGCTCTCAGTGCATGTGTAAGTTTTCTCCAGGTACTCTAGTTTTCTCTCTGACCAAAAACATGCATGTTAGGCTAATGAGATGTGTGTTTTTGCCTACCTGCATATATGTGTGTGTGTCTGTGTGTGTGTGTTACCTGGCCACTTTATTAGGCATACCTTGCTAGTACTTCGGCTGCCTTTTCCTTTCAGAATGATCTTAATTATTCATGCCATAGATTAAACAGAAATGTTTGAAACATTCCTCAGTGATTTTGGTCCATTTTAACATAATGGCATCGTGCATCCATGATGTGAATCTCCCGTTCCACCACATCCCAGAGGTGATCAGTTGGACTGAGATGTGACTGTGGGGACCACTGGAGTTCAGGGAGTTAAGACTCATCAGAACAAGCAACGTTTTCTAATCTCTTTATTGTCCAGTGTTGCTGAGCCTGTGTGAAATGTTGCTTCAGTTGTTCATAGCTGACAGGAGTGGGACCAGGTATGGTCTTCTGCTGCTGAAGCTCATCTGCTTCAAGGATGGACACGTTGTGTTCCGAGATAGTATTGTTCAAGTCTTTGTTTGTAAGAAACATTTATTTGAGCTATGGTTGTTTTTCAGTCATCTAGAACAAGTCTGACTATTCTCCTCTAACCATGACATCAACAAGCCATTTTTGTCTACACAAACATCACTCTCTACATATGATCTCATTTTCAGACCATTCTCTTTAAAGCCTGGACATGGTTGTGTGTAGAAATCCCAATATATTAAAAGTTTCCGAAATGCTCAGTCCAGCCCATTTGACACCAACAACTATGCTGTGTTCAGCCACTTAAACCCTTTCCTTTCTCGTTTTGACGCCTGTTGAACTTCAGCAAGCTGCCCCCATCAAGTCTACATACCTAAAGGCATTTAGTTGCGAACACATGATTTGTGCTATTATTCTTAACAAGGAGTTGAACAGGTGTACTTAATAAAGTAGCTGGTGAGTGTATATGCATGTGTGTCAGCGTGAGAGAGCGTTTGTGTATTGTTTGACAGAACTGGCAGGGACCGTGACGTGGTGTCCAGACGGAGAGCGGAAGGGCGAGGACAGCTCCCTGTAGGCAATCGTCTGCTTCTAAATTTCATTCGCTTAAATTACACAGCACGGTGTTCACAACAACAACACACACTCACATGTTGTATTTTACCACATTAGGATACAAAAGGAACAAAAATTGAATTAAATTGTTTAGCCTTAAAACTACAGATTAACCTTGAAGACAGCATTCCTTCAGGGAATGCATGTCGCCTGCTACCTCTCAGACTGAGATCGTCTTATGATGAGAAGGTAGATTTAGCTGTTTTGGTTAAATTTTGTAAATGACATACAATGTTGTGAGATCATGCAAGATGTGTTAGTGCCAAAGTATGTTTTAGGAAGGGCACTCAGCTACTACCACATCAAACTTTAGCTCAGTATCTGTAAAACTGACTGAACTATAGCCAAGTTCAATTGGCTGTGGCGGCCATTGTGAATTAGGTTGACTTGAAATCATAGGCATCACATAAAATATATGTGAAGGGAACGTGTCCCTCTCACATTTAAAAAATATTCATTTGGACACCCCCCCACACACACACGCACACATTTACCATGAAATATTAGTTCACTCAGCGCTGTTTCTATTTCTCCGTGAACAAATCTATTCCACTTGATTAATACGAGAATACTCAAACTGCTAAAAGTCCACTCTGGGTTTTCCTGGTTACCTAGAACAACTCACCACACTTCATGCAGTGTTTCTCCGAGGTCACTTGGCTTGGCAGGATGCTCAGCTCTTCGGGATTTTCTGTTGACGGAGCAGGGGAGGAGGGGGAGATACCTCTATGTTGCGCACTAGCTTAGCGCTACGTTAATGCCAGCAGTTGTCGACCGGGGTGGGGGGTTAGGATACGTGAGAGAAATAGTGTGTTCTATTCACACAAGGAGAGCTGTCGGTCAGGCTACTTCTTGTTGCTCTCTGAAATAGTTATTGAATCAATTGTTTTCTTATGTAAGTACATGTAGATGTTTAACAAACTGTTAAAATACACCAGAATGCAGGAAATAGCATCTGCTTTATTCTGGGGGCGGGGGGTTGTCCCGAAAAGTCAATTGGTTGTAGATATACGTACAGTACATCCAGCGATGACGTTTTTGACAGTTTTATGAAAATCTAACCACTAATTCATGCAATTTTCTGCTAACGCTACAGACAAGCAAACTATGCACAGACATAGGCAAAAATATTATTGCCCATCTCTCGTGGGGGACAATAAAACACATCAGTTGGATTTGTTAACATTATGATATACTAGTTGAACATCTTGCTGCTGGAATCAGCACCAGCGTGTCCAACAGACACTGGCAGAGATTTGACCCAGCTGAGTGTTTGAAGCCTGGTTTGTCCACAATAGTTCAAAGCTTGGCTTGAAAAACTGCAGAAGAATCTGAGTTATGTGGTGGGCCAAAGCTGGGACTCTATGTGCGTCTATTCGGCGTTACTCATGCACGCCGCTCAGGCTTACTCTCTGTGCATACTAAAAGGGCTAATGCAGCATTAGCCACATCACAAAAGCAATTTACACAGTTAAATATCCTCACGGAAAATGTCTACACAGCACAAAATATATTCTGACAGTCACAAAACGTAATTACTGATTATGAAAATACTTCTATAGACATTTTATTTCAGAAGTCCTGTAATTAAAGCCCATTATTTGGAGAAATGCAGTTTGCCTTCTACCTTTCAGACGTTTAGACAGAATGATCTTATGACGTTAAGCGACAGAGATATAAATATATATAAATTGGAGATGACTGAAACTACCAGAATATCAAAATTTAGCTCAATATCTGTAAAACCGCTGACTTATAGCCTTTTTAGTATGTTGTCTAAGACCAATTGGCTGTGGTGACTAACTTGACTTCGGCTGACTTCAAACGTTATTCAGTTGTAGAAAAATTATTATTTGCTTGTTTACCTAGTTCATAATATAACTCGCTAACAGTAAAGACAAACACAGACACAAGCAAAAACATAATCACCCCTCGCCTTCAGAAGTAGATGAAAATGACTGAAAGTGTTTATTTTTTTAAACAAACCACCTTTACAGTGTTTACTGTTTTTACACTGATAAAAGTTCTTGTGTGACTCTTTAGTAAGTTGCATTTGCAAAAAGGGACATTTTTTCCTGTGATGCTAGTAGTTTGGTGCAGATATTACATGGCTCTGGAAATGAGGGACAACCTGGAAAATGATTCACATTTTCCAGACAGGGAAATTTATTGTTTAATTTAATTTATGTACATGTATCAGTGCTAGTATTCTAGCATCAGTGAGTCCATGTTGTACTTCTGCAGTGTAATTAGTACATGTCCGGTTACAAAAGATTGCTTAAAAGTATAGTATCCTTAAATAATTGGGTGTAAAATTAGCTATGTGCCGACGTCTGTTTTGGTGCATCTAGGTGTAAAAAAAATAAAGGTTATAATCGAAAATTCAAAATCCGCTCTGTCCCTAGAGCTGACAACCTTCAGACCAAAACCAAACACATACAAACAAAAAACCTCATCTGGAAAACTACAAACATTTACTATTAAAATCTCTCAGTGACAGGGGAAATTAAAGTACTGCTTGTTTGTATAGAATTAATTTAATTCAGTTTATTTCAATAGCATTAAGTCACAACAGAAGTTATACAAGAGCACTGAACAGAAACATTCACATCTATAAAAATTAAATTAGTAACTTTATTTATCTAAGGAAGCAGCAGATTGTATTGTCTTCATTTCTTCACAGTCTCCCATCCTGAGCGAGCACAAAGGCAACAGTGGGAAGGAAAAACTTCCTTTAACAGGAAGAAACCTCCAGCAGAACCAGACTCAGGACAAGCGACCGTCTGCTTTGATTGGCTGGGTTTGAGAGGACAGGAAGGAGAAACAAACAAACAGAATGGCAGGTCTGGAATAGAGACAACTGGGGGGCAGGTCTTTCTATAGGAGGAAAGATAAAAAAAACAAAACACATGTTCAGAAAGAAATAATTACAAATACAAACCATTTATATTCATTTGTAACTTTCCTTTGATGAAATGAGGTCAGTTTGTCCTCTAGTAGTCTAAGACTATAGCAGCACAACTGAGGGATAGGTCAAGAAACCCAAGCCGACCCTAACTATAGGATTTATCAACAAGGAAAGTCTTAAAACTGGACAATGTGTCAGCCTCACGGACAGAAACTGGAAGTTGGTTCCACAAGAGAGGAGCCTGATAACTGAAAGATCTTCCTCCCATTCTACTTTTAGTAACTCTAGGAACCACGAGTAAACCCGCAGTCTGAGAGTGACGTGCTCTGTTAGGAAAATATGGAACAATAAGATCTGTAATATAAGATGGAGCTAGGTTGTTGAGAGCTTTGTAGGCTAGAAGTAGGATTTTAAATTCAATTCTGAATTTGACAGGGAGCCAATGGAGAGAAGCTAAAACTGGAGAGATATGATCTCTCCCAGTAACTCCAGTTAAGACTCTGGCAGCAGCATTTTGGATCAACTGAAGACGTTTTAAAGAAGTATTTGGACACCCAGATAATAAACCATTGCAATAGTTCAGTCTAGACGTGACAAATGCATGGACCAGTTTTTCTGCATCATCTTTAGATCAGATGTTTCTAATGTTAGTGATATTACGCAGGTGGAAGAAGGAGGTTCTAGTAACGTTTTTAATGTGGGGGATAAAAGACATGTCCTGATCAAAAATAACACCAAGATTTTTAACATTAGAGCTGGAGGACAGATTAATGCATCTAAGGAGGGAGAAAGACTGAAACATTCATTCCCAAGACGCTCATGCATACTATTTTTACCTTTTTAAAAGAAAATACAGAAAAATTACTTCACAGGATGCTCACTTCAGCATGCTTTGCACCAAATAGACAGCCAAGAGCAGCTCAAGTACATTGAGCTGTGAATGACCTGTAGACTGTGCCAAAAACTAAATTCCCACGAGTATCTTTCTTTCTAATGAAGGCTTTACTTTGGAAAAACAAACTGTTTTCTGTGAAACAATAGCTCATAATCTTGTCATTCATCACAGAGATTATGAGGCACTGTAAATGTGTGTATATGATGATATCAGGGGGCTGTTTCCTGTTCGGGTTAAATGAGTCCGATCGCCTCAGGCCTGGGCACCGGGCCACAGCCGAGGAAAAGGCACCATCTTTTTAGCTGCAGGGAGGCTCTGTGGTGGCTGCTAACAAGCCTGTTTCCCACTAACATCATTTGGTTTCTGTTTTTGTCCTTCATTGATGTGCTAGAGGACTCTGTCCCGGCCTAGATTTAACAGCATACGTTTATTTTTACTGCTCCTAATATAGATATATTACAAAAAACAACAACAGATTTTTATGTTTTGTTTGAACATTTTAAAATATATAATCTCTTCTCCAGCATAAACCACCCCTTGAGGTCAATGACCTTTTTGAGGACATCAAAGATGGGCTGAAGCTCCTGGCCCTGCTGGAGGTGTTGTCTGGTCAAAGACTTGTAAGTAAATTTATGTTTGTTTGTTTTTTTGCATGCATTAATTAATTAATTGTGTGTTTGCTCTCTATGTGTTTAGGATTTTATTTATCAGATGGGTCTTCCTCTTAACAACGCTGTCTGTGTAATGTTTACAACCCTAATTCTAAAATAAATTCAATTTACATTAAATACAAAACAATACATGTAAATGAAAACAAAATGCAATGATTTGTAAATGACATAGTCAAATATTTACTGTATATATATAAAAAAAATAAAATTTTTAAGCAAAAATGCCAGAAACACACCTCAACAAAGACCCAGTCCTCTGACTGATCCGTTTCTTATTGGCCTATTTACTGGCAAAATGTTCCGCCAGCTGTTTCTTATTCTTAAAATTTACTGTTCCAGCCTTCTCTGAGCCTGCCCCATTTCAGATTTGTTGCTGCGTCAAATTCATAATCACCCTATTTTTCTATTAATGGTGCAACTTGTAAATTTAAACATTTATGTTAACTGTTCCATTTTGAATAAATATGGGCTTACAAGATTAGAAAACCATTCTGTTTTTATTTACGTTTTACACAACATCCTGAAGTTTGTTTTAAATGTTACTTTTATACTTTGTAAATACACCATCAATTTTTTGTTGCAACATAAAAAAATGGGGTTAGATTAGTGCATTAAAAATGTGTTTTATTCTTAATCCTCACAGTTAGCTTTTGTTATCACAAACATCCTTATCGCTTGGTTTTTCTGTCTTACACACACACACACACACACACACATGCACTGACCCACATTGTGCTGAGCATTAAGTTATTAGCCCTAACTTCGTCCAAACTGCTGTTGCTTTTTTACGGACACTTCCTCGTCCATTCGTCGTGTTTTTGGGGTTGAGATCTGCCACGTTATTGACAAACAGATCCTGTTCATAAACACTGTAGACTTAATAAAAACAAACGTTCTCGACTAGCAGAACTCATTGTTACTTTGTTCTGCCATGTGGAAGCTTTAAGCTTTAGTTTGTGGAAGCAGAAGTTAGAGACACGACGCCCGTTTGTCTGATAAAGGTCACAACACTCGCCTGTTTTACCAAACAGCCACGACTTCCATTAAACAATGTAAGGTGGGAAATGATGAGCCTGCCCCTGTCTGTGTGCTTGTGTGTCTGTATGTTAGCAAAATATCTCGTGAACCACTGAACAGATAATAACGAAACCTGCATGATTTGATCACTGAAAGTACCACCCATTTAAGATGGCAGCCACAGTTTACTGACCAAGAAAAGCACAGACATGGTTGTAGTTCAGTCAGTTTAACAGCAAATTCTTGATATGGTTGTAGCTGAGAGTTATTCCAAACACTCACTGCAAGTGCTACTCACTGGGTGACATCTTTACTCAAAGCATTAGCATCAACAAATTATATTTTTATCTTACATCCACAGCTGATTAACTTTCGTAGTCCATTCCAGATCTAACTGACCTTAGCTAATGCAGGAAACATACAGCGCTGTTGATGTTACAGATACTGAGCTAACATTAAATGTGGTAGTAGCTGAAAGTCATTCAAATCACAAACTCTGAGCTTCACATTTTGCAGTGTCACATAAGACCACGCACAACTTTATTTTCAAGGTTTGACCATAACAACTACAACTCTCATTTAGTAAAATAGGACAATTTTTTGTCTGAAACTTTGGAATGAAAGGTCATTTGCCTTGTTGAAGAAATTCAAAGCACCAAAACACCAGTGATAAGAACATTTTAAAACCTAAATTCATCCCACGCTGTAGACATGTTTTACGTGCGGTTAAGTTTTGTACTTTAACACATCTGTTCACACAGATCCACTTTTAGTGTTAGACACAAATTGCCATTCCTGGATTTCCAGTTTGATACTCATCATGTCTGTTTTTGAAGCTCTGCTGCTGTTTTTTCATCCCAGCCCCACTCTTTAGCTCATAATAAAACATCTTCTGCAGTTGTTTTATTTAAGAAAAGCCTCACTAATCCTCCCAAGGCACTTTCTTTACTTTTCCACGCAATTAAGCTTTCCTTTTCGCTACTGTTATGAATGAGCATGTAGGCAAAATCGCTATCTACAACAAATTTTCATGTTTTAGCTGATGATCGTAAAAAACATGTCCTCAGCTTTTATCAATAAGGTTGACTTATTTTGTAATTCCTGTCCTTGTTGTCTCAAGCCCTGTGAGCAAGGCCGCCAGCTGAAGAGGATCCACTGGGTTTCCAACATCGGCACAGCACTCAAATTCCTCGAAGGCAGAAAGGTAAGACAAGTTTTTTTAAATTAAAAGTAGAAACTTTTATTAACTGTGCAAGAAGGAGAATACTCAGAAAGTCCACCTGTGACGACTCTGAAGGAGTTACACGACTCAGAAGGTGAGACGGGGTTGACGGTTTCCTCGTGGATCAATGGCGCGTACGCCCAAACAGGTTGTGTTGTGCCGGGTTCCACGCACACGTCGGGATGTATCGAAACAAACGCACACTTCTGACTGTTTAACTTTAAAATGTTTCATTTTCCTCTCTCTGTTCAAAGATTCTGCAAATTTTCAGTTTGCTTGTCTCTGACAGCTTTCCGTTTCTGTTTTTGCTGAATATAAAAAGAAAACCAATTTTTGCGTGAGCGCTGCAAGATAGTAGGGGTGTAACAAATTTGATGTATTTGTACCACGTTGCCACGGTACAGATGATAGGCATGAGAACATTGAAGTACACAACAGTTATGTCAGTCAGATGATCACTGTTCTCATCTAGGAGTGGGTTGCACGTTAAAAATAATAAATTTAAAAAAACATTAAAAACGACTGCTTTTTGCTTTCAAAACAGAAAATCTTCCTTAAAAAATGTCCCATCAAACAAACCTGAAAGTGTGGTTCAGAATAACACTTAGACATTTAAAGCCCTGCCTGTTTTTTGTTTTTATCTCTAAACGAGCTGTGTAGAAAAGATTATTGGTCATGATTCACAGCAGCATCGGAGAGCAACAAAAGGTGCAGGTATGGCAAGTAGTTGCGTCGTATAATACATGTTTTGAAGGTAGGGCAGGCTAATAATCTTTATTTTATATCCTTGATATGAAAAGTTTTTTCTTCCTTACATTAACATTAGCACTAGCTGAGAAGCTAAGTGCACGTGCTTCACGTTTTTTTCTAACTAAAACCTTCACATTAGATAAAGTTACACAGTTTTGTATTATATTTTATTTTGCATCGGTCTGGGTCAATACATATCGTTTTATTTGCTCTCACATTATTGTAGGGCAAGCTGGCTTTGTTCATCCACCATCAGGCTTCTTTCTACAAAGAGAAACCACGTGCCACATATGAACTCTAGCAAATCTGTGCCAAATAAATTAATTACCACGAGGGCTAGAAAAGCTGCATTGCCTGAAATAAATTGCCATAATTATAAATTGCCATAATTATTGTAAAACGTGTAGAAGTACAGGAATAAATAAATAAATTTAATAACTTATGTTAGTTCAGATTAAACGTTGTTTGGGTTCAGATACTGACCGTTGTCCTGTAAGATCTCTGCTGGTCGGATGTTCGTTAGTGAGGATTAAAGATCACTGTGTGTAAAACATGCACGCCGTTTAGAGTGACAGGAGACAGGACTTCATGATTACGTAACCCATTCCTAAATCTCTTGGTTGTTTGAATTCTGTGTCCTACTTTCATCTGGGTCCCCTGAGGATGGAGACTTGCTTACACTGTTGTGATCTCTCTGTCTCCCATCGTGTGCCCTCAGTCTGTGTATCGAGGATCTCCGGTCAGTCACCTCTTAACAGCCTGTGCAATCAAACAGAATGCATCCTTCTCATGTAATGCATGATTTTCACAATTGTTCTGTTTTTCTACTGGCCTGAGTTTTTATGCATTTTGAGTGGAATCCAACTGTTTGGGCTGCTTGAGTCATTTCAGCTGCTTTAAGGTAACGATGAGAAGGTGGCAAATTTTAGCATCTCTGCAAAGCTTTAGGGAATCTGCTTGTTGGAGTTGGTCACCTCTGTTTATCGCCCGCCGCCAAAAACAAAAAGGGTGAGAATGTTATTGCCCAGCTCTATATATATGCATATCTTTGCTTGTCTGGCATGTTAGCAAAATATATCATAAACCACATGATACAATTTAATGAAACATTCAGAAATTAATCATTAGATGGACATCTATAGCTGAATAACTATTCAAATGGCTGCTGTAGGCAACTGCTCTAGAAAACACAAAAATATTAAAATCTCAGTCAATTTTCCAAAGGTTCAGCTCAAACCTGGTGTGGTAGTAGTTGACAGTCATTCTCAACTTTGCTACATCTTTTTATCTCCCATCACTGAATGAAGAGGGGGAACTGGAAATACCCTGGGTCCATCCGTCCGTCTGTCTGTGCATGTTGTGAGAAAAATAAGTGAAAAAAATATGTGAAGTACCTACTTCCATTTTGGTGTGTGGCTGCATCTAGGAGTAAGAAAAAGAAGAGGTAAGAAAAGTGGGTTGCCATGTCATAATTCAAGATGGCTGCCACCATAAATGTCAGTCCCTCGTCAATTGACATTCCATCTTGTGAGATGAATAACTTGAAAAATATGCAACATGCAGACTTTCATTTTGGTGTGTGGCTGAAAACTAATCAATGGTGGCCAAGGCCGCCACTGGCCACCACTGGCCACCCCCTGGCTCCACCAATGCACCTGGTGTGGATAAAATTACTCCCTCCACTCTCCAGGATCTGTCTGTCTGTGCTGCCTCAGGCAAGCACAAGAAAATAAAACTGTTCTCCTACACAGCGTAACTCCTACCCATTTGAATATCTTCCATTTTATAACGCACTCAGGCATCTGTGCTCCAATCATGTGACCTTAGTTTCAAACATGGGCATCAAAGAGGCGGGCGATATGCATTACTTTAAAGATTGCCAGTTTTTTGTGTGTGTGTGTTTGATCTATCTTTCATTGCTGGTTTTGCCTTCAACTAATCACATCAAGAGCATCAAAGACTTGACTTTGATGACTTTAGAAAAAATTAAGTTCATATTATTTTTAACAGATGGAAACTCGAGTACAATCAAAGATGAAACGCTGTTTTTTTCTTAAAGGCTTCCACCATATCTGAATGTGTGTGATTTTTAATTTTCACAGAATAATTATTTGCTTTGTTTGGATTTTAGATCAAACTTGTCAACATTCATGCCACTGATATCGCTGACGGCCGACCGTCAATCGTTCTTGGGCTTATATGGACCATTATCCTGTATTTTCAGGTACAGTTTTTAAAGGTTTAAAGTTGCACCCTAGAAATGAACTTAACCATCCAAATATCAATTCACTGTTTATCTACATTTTAATTTTTTCATTTCCTTGTCTCCTTACAAGATTGAAGAGTTAACCAGCAACCTGCCAGCCCTGCAGGCGTTGTCCAACAGCAACTCTTCTGTGGAGAGTTTAACCAGCTCAGAAGCAGGAAGCCCCCCCATGAAGAGGAAGGTGGTTACCAGATTTCAAGGCAATGCCAAGAAGGCTTTGCTCAGATGGGTGCAGTGCACAGCAGCCAAGTATGTTACATTTAAATCCCTTTTCAGGTTCATGTCATAGATACTGTTGCAGGGGAAAAAAAATACAAATGAAAGTTTAAGGACTTTTTTTTTTGTCTTATGTCTCGCTTTGAAATAATTCTTGTAAAATAAACACCAGCTCTATGAGAATTAGTGTGTTATGATTATTGGTGGCCGTTCATTGGACAATGTGGTCAAAATTCACAAAAATGTTTAAATAAATGACTGAGGGAATAAATATTATGGAGATTTTGGTAAAACCCATGGAAAACCTGTGGAGCTCTGCAGCTCAGCAGGGCTGCGTAATGGAACATTTATTTTCATTGCAATATCAGTGAGTACATTATCACTAAAGCAAGCGAGCACACAGCTCTTTTACTTCTTCTTTCATCTTTTCCCTCTTCAGGGGTCTCCTCAGCGAGTCATCCTCCTCCATCTCACTCTTCCCTCTGTGTCCTCAGTCCTCATTCTGTCCTCTCCATCCTCTGTCCTCACTCCAACTACCTCCATGTCCTCTAACTGCATCCATATATCTCCTTGTTGGCCTTCTTTGTCTTTTTCCTGGCAGTTGCATTTCTAACATCCTTCTACGAATATACCCACTGTCCCTCCTCTGGACATGTCCAAACCACTGTCCCTTCTCTGGACATGTCCAAACCATCTCAGTGTGTCCTCTCTAACTTTATCTCCCAGTTGTTCAACCTGTGCTGTACCTCTGATGATCTCATTCCTGATCTTCTCCATCCTTGTCTCTCCTAAGGAGAACCTCAACATCTTCATTTATGTCTCTTCCAGTTCTGTCTCCTGTCTTTTTGTCCATGTCTCTGTCTTCAGACCATACAACATAGCTGGTCTCACCACTGTCTTGTAAACTTTTCCTTTGACCTTTGCTGACACCCTTTTGTCTCAAATCACTCCTGAAACTTTTCTCCATCACTCCATCCTGCCTGACTCTCTTCTTCACTTCTTCACCACACTCCCCATGTTCCTGGACAGTGGACCCCAAGTCCTTGAAGTCCTGCACCTTTGTGACCTCTGCTCCTTGTAGCCTCACTGTTCCACCTCCTCCCTCTCATCCACACACATGGACTCTCTGGATGAGAGGGAGGCAGCTGCTTACTTGAGACTTATTTTTCAGTCTGCTTCTCTGCCTGCCTGTTATTAATTTGACAGTTAGAGAGTGACAGACACAGGTTTGTGGTTACCATAGTGACCATAAAGAACCACTGGTAGCAGCTTAGAATTGTTATTATTATTATTATTATTTTTTTTTGGGGGGGGGGGGGGGGTCTTCTTTTAGGTTTTTATACAATTCATACATCAAACTGTTGGCATTTTTTACCTCATCCTTGATTTCTACAAAGTTATGTTGGATTTATGTCCCAGTGAATTTATTTTTGTTTCATATGTAATTGAATTTGTTAACACGTCTTAAAGGTGTCTACATTTAAGCACTTTATTCAAATCCTGTAAGACTGATATACTGATATAACCGATGGTCTTTCAGGCATTTCGGAATTGAGGTGAAGGACTTTGGGCCCAGCTGGCGCGATGGTGTTGCGTTTCAAGCAGTGGTGCACGCCATCAGACCCGACCTGGTGGACATGGAAGTGGTGCGGCAGAGAAACAACAGGGACAATTTAGAAGATGCCTTCACACTTGCAGAAAATGAGTTGGGCATTCCCCGTTTGCTGGATCCAGAAGGTCTCCTTTACTTTTGCTGCTGGTTTTAAAGATTTTTGGTGGTTCTGACTGTTCTAACAAAAACAATTGTTTGTTTTTGTTATAGGCATAAACACACCAAAGAATGTTACCGTAGATGACAATTTTTATTGCGATTCATCATTTTTATTGTTTTCATGTTTATTTTTGGATGGTTTTGCAGCCTGACTGTTGTGCTATTTTAGGCATCCATTGGTTAAAATTAGAAAATTAAAATGGATGGATGGGTGGGTGGATGAATGGATGAATGGGTGGATGGATGGGTGGATGGATTGATATGTACCATTGTACCATGAACTCTGCTTCAACATACTTATAGTACAATTCGTCTTCTATTGCTACTTAGCTTTCAGCTAGCCTATGCTAGCCTTTCACAACTTTTAGTTTTTAGGTAGCCATTAGTTATTTTGTGTTTTATTTGCTTCTGTGTACTTGCTCTATTTTTGTCTTTTTATACTACTTTTATCATTTTGCTACATTAAGTTTAGAGCTAGCTTTTAGGTATTTTAGACTTTTCAGATAGCTTTGTGCTTTTTTAAAGTTTTTAGCTAGCTTTTGCTACTTAAGTTTATATTGTTAACCATTTGCTATTTTTGTCTTAGCTTCATTTATTTTAACTAGCCTTTTGTTACTTTTGATATTTACAGTAGCTCTCATTTTGCTTATTTGGTGTTTAGCTATCTGTTTGGATCATTTGGCTTATAGCTGGTGTTTCTGTTTTTAGCTTTTAGCTTGTGTTTTATCCTTTTATAGTTAGTTATTGCTCTTCTTTTAGCTTTACACACTCTGTTTTAGCTTGAAAAGCAAATTTGATCCAAGTTGTTTATCTCCAAGCATTGTATTTTTATGGATTCTAGTTTATCTTATTATCTAATGTGTTTTGTAAATATAAATGTAGTGGTTTCAGTTTAGCTCAGGCAGTAAAGCAGCCTGCAGTGACTCTGCAGTTCTGCCTTTATAGTCAAGTCATGATTCTTTTTTTGTTTTTTTTTTGAAAGAGCTGCAGTGAAAAGCCTCACTTCAAGGAGCTTTACTCTCCTGGTCTTTAATAAATATAGAATATAATATCAGGCCAACAGAGTGGATAAAATAGACTAGCATAATTAGCTGCAGGTCTTGGTAGATTTAGCCTCCTGGGGACATTTTTTCTCATTTTAGCTGATGTAATGGCTCATTTGATTTACTACCCTGGTTCTGTACTCAGGACTATATTTTGTTGAATTTAATGTTGACGTGTTTTTTAGAAACTTGCATTTGCTTTTGATTTTCACCTCAACGAATGCCCAGGAGTTCTTTTGTTTTTTTTGGGGGGTGTAACAATAACTAGAATATTATTTTGCTTTGTAGATGTGGATGTGGACAAGCCTGATGAGAAGTCCATCATGACATACGTGGCTCAGTTTCTCAAACATTACCCAAACCCCCACCAGTCTGAGGGGGGTGGACATCAAGATGAGGTACTTCCTTCTTTGTATGCGCGACTGCTAATGTTTTTTTTCATGTTTAGTACAAAGAATGACTTTATAAAAGAAAAGGCTAAATGCATTGCTAGGCCTTTTATTTAAATAGTGTAAATCCATGCCCCAGCTATTCCAAACATCTTCATTCATCACAATAATTTGTAATTTATATTCAATAAATTACTGCATGAACACAGCAGTGTCATCATCATCATGTACTTTTTGTTTTATATCATCCTTTAATGTTTCCATCTACTTACTTTTGTGCACATTAAGCTGCTTCTTGGCTCTATTCCAACTTTTGCATTGTCAGTTCCAGTGCTTCAGGTGAGGGTTAAAGGTCATCGTGCTGCATGCTTTCTGTCTGTCGTGTTCACCCATCTCTCTGTCATCATTTCCCGTTCACTTTGCTTCTTGTTTTCCTCGTTATTCTAATGCTTTTCTATTGTGTCTGCATTTCTCTGTGTGCTTCAATGCTTTCCTGGAAAGTTTGTTCCCCAAGATATTGAACAAATGCTTGAGGTATGTTCAAACAGACTACATCAGAAGTTTGCAGAGAATACTAATGTCTATACTAGAGCCTGACTGATATGGGAATTTTGGCTATCACCGATACTGATATTGGGCGGGGAAGGCGACTGCTAATAACCGATATAATGGCTGGAATATTTTTAGCTTTCTCCACCCCCAAATCTAAGAAAACAGTGAGTGGAGCGGGGCTTGTTTATTTAGTGCAGTTATTAGCAACCATGAAGCTAAGCTAATCAGATCCATGCTGTACATAGACCCACAGCAGGTTTACAAGTGGTGCACTGGTCATAAAAACAGTCTTCCTAACGTGTGTTCACATTTTCTATCCTCCACTATTCACCATAAAGTTATCAAGTGTGTTACAAAAATATAAATTAAACAAAGAAACACCTTCCTGTTCATTGTTCAGTCATTTGCGTATGGTGAAGGTTTAATTAGTATTGACCACAGCAGAGTTTGTTTTTCTTTGTAGAGAAGTAAAGATTTCAGACAAACAATGCATTTCATTGAGGATGACAAATATAACATTACCAGCACTGGATGTCCTCACAAAGTGGAAGCTCAATCTGATAGGACTGGTTGCTATAGCTACTGACAATGGGGCTAATGTCGTGAAGTTGGTGCAACTGATCATTAGCGTTAGCTTGCTAACTTGAGAGGCACGTAGCTAATGACAAGAGGGTTGGAGTGTTGAAGAGAATTTATTGTTGTAGATTTTTTTTATTTATTTACAGATAAGTTAAAATAAACTTACCACGCTTTGTATTGCACCTTGCTTCTGCTCAATGTGAAAGTGAAACCTAAGTGAACGGCAGTGACATGAAAGTAGTCTGCATTTACCCTCTGCTGGATACATTGTACAATTATGGCTAGTTCCAGTAGTTCAGGGGTGAAATTAAGAAGTGTTTATATTGGTGCATAATGATCACAGATTCCAATAGGTCCCCAAGGTCTATATCGGCCTAAAATATCAGGCCTAATGATATATTGGTTGGGCTCTAATCTATACCTCCTCTGTACCTCACTATCTTCTACATGCATTTCTAAAATGATTCAGTTTTCTTTGTGAAATTGTTCACATCTTGTCTTTGTCTACCAACGTTGAGTCAGGTCCTCTGGACGGATTCTTCTTTGTCGAGATGTTTCGTCTTTTGTTCAAAAGCAGCATCTGCTGTTTATAAGACTGAGTTTGTTGCAGCTCCTCAGACTGAAGAAGTCTTTTGGATAAAAGACGAAACATTTCAACAAGAAGAATCCGTGCAGAAGACCTGAATCAACCTGGTTAGATGTTTCTACCTGGATTATTGAGCAGCAGGACATTTTGTTTTTGAGTTTTTCTTGACTGTCATGTAAGGTTCCTGAAAGCATACTAATTAAATTAAAAACAGTTGGGAACTAGAATGGATGTAAATGCTAAATTGCAGCGAGAATGCTGAGTGCTGAATGTCATTCTTGGAAAATTTAAAACAAGCTAAAACTAAATAGTTAAACAATTAAAACAAAAGCTGAAATTAGCTAAAGTAAAGCTAAAAGAAGCTAAACAAAGACTGACGCAATCAAAACAAATGCTAAGAACTAAACTTAGCAAAGCAAACGCTAAAAGCTGAAACTAACAACCAATAGTTAAATGCTAAATATAAATAAACAGTAGTGAAATTCTAAAATTAACTAAATCAGACCTAAAATCTAAAACCATAAAAAAACAATGGTTGGAAGCTAAAGAGACCAAAACAGTAGCTGTATATTAAAGTCATCAAAACAAAACTAAAAGCTACAGTTAACAAAACAAAACCAAAACGGTAAAATTAGCTAAACAGAAGCCTAAGGTTAAAATTAGATCAACAGTAAACTATATTAAAAAACAGTAATTAAAAGCTAAAACCAGCAGAATGGTAGCTCAAAGGTAAAAGTAGCAGAACAGCAGCTATAAATTAAACTTTGCAGAATAGCTTAATACTAAAAGTAGTTAAACTAAAGCCAAAAGCTATAACTATCAAAACAGTTGCATAGTGCTAAAATTCACAAACAGTTGACTAAAGTTAACATTAGCTAAACTGTAGCTGAGTGCTATATTTATTTAAACAGTAGCTGAAATGTAAAGCCAGCAAATCAGCTGAAAGCTGTTTTAAAAAAAACAGCTATAAAATAAAATGAGCAAAACCTAAGCCAAATGTCAAAATTTGCCAAACAACGTACAATACAGTAGCTAAAAGCTAAAACCAATAAAGCATTAACTAAAAATTCAAGTAGTAGAACAATAGTTAAAAGTTTTACCTACCAGAACGTTAGTTTTTTATTTTATTTGATCCTTTATTTTACCAGAATAAATGCATTGAGATTAAAAATCTCATTTACAGGAGTGCCCTGGTTAAAAACTAAAGTTAAGTTAGACAAATAAAGTCATAAACAATACTGTCTCAGCAATCACACCATTAGGTTTGCTGGGAATGTAAGCTCTTTGTGTTCTCATTGCAACAGAGAGAGGAGCGGAAGATGCTTCGAGAGCTGAAGGTGTTTTTAGATCAGCTGGAGAGAGATCTGCTGCGAGCCCAGGCAGCCGAGGGAAGCCTCGCAGACAAATACCAGGTCCGTTATGCTCCAAACAAAAACAACGACAAAGTTCCTCTGCGCACTAAACCTACAATAATATGACCTTTTCATGGTGTTTTGTAGGTCTTCAAAAGCTTCCACGTTCAGTACGAGATGAAGAAGAAGCAGACGGATCCTCTGCTGCAGCCGATCCATAAGGACAGCAAGCTTTCAGTGGACCAAGCTGTGGTCAAGCAGGCCTGGGACCGCCTGTCTGCCAGGGTACATGCACCACATATCTCTGAACTATATTCAGAGTCACACTATACAACTTTATGTTCAATAATGGATTTCAGTTTTTCTTTCACACCCGCCTTCAAATGTAAAAGGCCGATGCTGTGTTTGCTGTGTGTTAGCAAAATATCTGATGAATCACTGAATGGATTTCAATGAGTTTTAATGACATTTTCAGAAAATATTCAGTCAGTTCAAGTTTACAATTGATTAACTTCTAAAGAAAACCAAATTCAAAATGGCTGCTACAGCTAATCAAGCTACAATGTCTCTAATTTAGTTTTACAGATATTTAGCTAATATTTAGTTTGGTAGTAGCTGACAAAAAAATCCATATCAAATGCTCCGATCCGATCAGTTTGGCAACGTTACATGAGATCACATTGAACTTCATAAGAAAATGCTAAAAAGTGCTGTTTTTATTTATTTATTTATGTATTAATCTGATCTAAAAAACAAGACAGGTCTTTTGTTTCCCTCCAGTAAATGTTCAGTTTGATTAACTGACGTGGAATGAGTGCATTAAGAGGAGCTGGAGATGAGAACAAAGGTCTTTGTTGTCCTCTGTCGCAGAACAAAAAGGGAGAATTGGAAATTCCCTCCGTCCGTCCGTCCATGCATGTTGTGAGCACAATAACTTGAAAAATAAGTTGGGATACCAACTTCCATTTAGTTGTGTGGCGGCCTTGAACTCTGCGCTGCCTCAGACAAGCAACAAATAAAAACCTACCGTTGTTCTACAGTGTCTGGCACCAAAAACATTAAGGTTTACTTCCTGGTCAATTCCAGTCCAGAAAAACACTCATTTCAAAACTGCAAATATTCCCTACTCAAATCCCTCAGCGACAAGGGACCACCACTTGTTCACCAGGAACCTTTCTTCTCCAGACATCCTCAGCTTGTCCAGACGTAAATGTTCTGTTGTCATGACAACATGGTCTCCTTCATTGTTGGATCTTTTTTGTGTGTGTGTTTTTAATGGGTTGTCAATCACAGCTGCTGGACTGGCACATCCATCTGGACAAGTCTCTGCCTGGCCCCCTGGGAGTGATCGGAGCCTGGCTTCACCGAGCAGAGATGGCTCTGAGGGAGGACATCCCCCTCCACCTTGTTCATGAAGAAACAGCCAATGTCCTCCACAGAAAACTAGAGCAGCACAAGGTCAAACATCAGGACTTTTCAGTGCATTTGGAGCAATCTTGTTGTTCCACATTTATAATCACAACTATTCACTGCCAAAATGAGCATGATTGTGTTTTTATATTTTCAGGAGGTATTAAAAAGCGTGGTATCACACAGGCAGACTTTTGTTCAGATCCACAAGGACAGATCGGTCAACGGGGTACCTGTTCCACCAGAACAGCTCCAGGACATGGCAGAACGGTATGGCCTTTAGGAGAATAAATATCATTTTTAATATTTCCTGTCCTCTAAGGTGGAACATTAATGTTTTAACTGTGTTCGATTGTCTGTAGAGTTTATAAAAATGGATAGAAATCTGTCAGTTTTACAGATATTGAGAAAATCTTTTTGGGGTTGTAGCTCAGAGTCATTCCCAACTGTTTGTATCAGTCCTGCCTGTTAGAAAAATATCTTATGAACAAAACAGCCAAATAGAAAATAATAGCAAATTTGCAACTTATTTTAATGAAACTGTTGAAAGTATTTGTTGAATGTAGTACATGTAGAACTTAATAACGTTAGTATTCAACCTGATTCAAGAAGGCCGTCGCAGCTAATCAACTTGAGCAAACTTTAACTTAGTCAAATTTATAGACATTGAGCTAGAATCTGATTGAGATGTGGACTATGATGTTTGCAGATGACATTGTGATCTGTGGTGAGAACAGGGAACAGGTGGAAGAGAACTTGGAGAGGTGGAGGTGTTCACTTGAAAGAAGAATGAAAGTCAGCCGTAGTAAGACAGAGTCCATGTGTGTGAATGAGAGGGAGGATGTGGAACAGTGAGGCTACAAGGAGCAGAGGTCACAAAGGTGCAGGACTTCAAGGACTTGGGGTCCACTGTCCAGGAACATGAGGAGTCTGGTAAAGAGGTGAAGAAGAGAGTCCAGGCAGGATGGAGTGATGGAGAAAAGTTTCAGGAGTGATTTGTGACAAAAGGGTGTCAGCAAAGGTCAAAGGAAAAGTTTACAAGACAGTGGTGAGACCAGCTATGTTGTATGGTCTGGAGACAGAGACATGGACAAAAAGACAGGAGACAGAACTGGAAGTGTCAGAAATGAAGATGCTGAGGTTCTCCTTAGGAGAGACAAGGATGGAGAAGATCAGGAATGAGATCATTAGAGGTACAGCACAGGTTGAACAACTGGGAGATAAAGTTAGGGAGGACACACTGAGATGGTGTGGACATGTCCAGAGGACAGACGATGGTTTGGACATGTCCAGAGGAGGGACAGTGGGTATATTGGTAGATGGACGTTAGAAATGTAGCTGCCAGGAAAAAGACAAAGAGGAGATATATGGATGCAGTTAGAGAGGACATGGAGGTAGTTGGAGTGAGGACAGAGGACACAGAGGACGGAGTGAGATGGAGGAGGAGGACTTGCTGTGGAGACCCCTGAAGAGGGAACACCTGAAAGAAGAGCTACAATCTGATGAAGTGATAGCTGAAACCATCTTCAGCTCATACTTTGAAAGCTAACACATCTTGCAAGATTCCACAATAAATATCACTTAAGATTGTTCATAACAATATTTTTGAGGTTTGACCAAAACAGCTGCAACTCCACTCTGTCTTATTTTGAGGGGACTTGGTTCAAATGTGTGGCATTAAATATTGACTGGAGACATGCATTCCTTTATTTATCTGTTTATTAAAGAGAAAAATGAACAATATAGGAGTGTTTACATAAATTGCAGGTTCAACTTCGTGTCTACGTCGTCACACTCTCACTTGATAAAGCTGGAATTCTGGGAAATGAAGTACCGCTTGATGGCATTTCTTGGTCTGGCTGAGTCGAAGCTCAAGTCCTGGATCATAAAATATGGCCGACGAGATTCGGTTGAACTCCTGTTGCAAAGCTACCTTGTAAGTTGTGATTATTATAGCCTGATTTGAATGACACGGTTTGTATGGTTCATTTCATATTTATCTTTTTCTTTCAAGACTTTTACTGAAGGCCACAGATTCTTTGAGCAGTATGAGATCATCTTCACGGCCCTCAAACAAGCTGCAGAGGTTTATGTGAAATCTGACAGTTCAAGTAAGATTCTTCAACATTCATCCCACGTATATATTTGGGAATATATTAAGATAGATTATTTTTTGTTTCGGATTCAAAGTAAACAGTCTTACTGTCAATTTTATGTTACAGGGTCTAAAACCTGTAACAAAGGTAAGTCCAAAAAAGGTCTTGAAAACCTTCATTTTGCCTGTTTCCTGAAACATTTATTTTTGTAAATCTGGGGCACAGTGATTCTTTTCTTAACGTTGTTTGAATTCCCAGAACCTAAAAGGTTGTACTGCATTTTGCATGGAGGTGTAACTATAACTGGAATGCTATTTTAGCATGTCTTAACGAACCTAACATAGCCTAATTGAAACACTAGGTAAACATAATGAAATGTTTCTTATTTTTAAATTAAGTAAGTACAGTATTATGTAGTGCAACCTAAGTTCTGAAAAAGTTGGAATATTATGTAAAATGTAAATAAAACCAGATTGTAATGAATTACAAATCTTTTAAACCCATATTTTATCACAATGGAACATATTAGACATATATTAATAAAATAAAATACATTACATTAAAATAAAAAACAATTTTTCATTCAACCTTTATTTACAACAATGGACAACAGCAACAACAATAGACAATCATAAAGGAGGCAGTTTTTTTTTTACAAATTAAAATAAGATGGCAAAAAAGTAGCACAAACAGCTAGATTATAAGGCGAACGTAGAAAACTAAAAACAGGAACATGTCTGCATTGGTTCTTGCCAGAAGTCCAACAGATTAATGTCTAAATAATGTCCAAAAATGTCTAAAAATCCACAAATACATTAATACTTGTTACAAATACAGTATGCATACATCCACACGTCAGTCACTGACATGTTAATTTCAGAATGATTTAATGGCTTCCATGTCAAAATCCAAGATGGCTGCCGCCATATATGAATATATGTAAACATTGTGAGCTAGATAACTTGAAAAATAAGCAATGTGCCAACTTTCATTTTAGTGTGTTGCTGTATCTAGGCTTAAGAAAGGTCACTATCAAGAACTGGGTTGCCATGTCATAATCCAAGATGGCTGCCGATATATATATATATATATATATATATATATATATAATAAACCAACCACCCCAATCATGTGAGGAAACTGCTATGTTGAAACTAGTGGAACAATTTCAGATTAAAGTTCCTCAACACAAAATGGGGAAGACTTTGAATATCACGTCATTTACAGTTTGTAATATCATCAAAAGTTTTCTAGAATGTTACTGGAACTTATCAGTGCAAATTTCAAAAGCCTACCTCTGATGGTATGGGGTGCATACGGGCCTATGACATGGGGAGCCTATATACCTAAAAAAGAACCATTAATGCAGAAAATAATTTACAGATATTAAAATGACATATATTTTCATCCAAATTACATTTTTTTCAGAGAAGGCCTTTCAAATTTTATAATGATAATACTAAACTTCATCCATTTCTACAGCATGGTTTCGTAAAAGGACTGCACTTATATAGCACCATATCTTATCAAGATAATCAAAGTGCTTTACAACACAATCTGTGTCCTCATCTGCCCATTCATACATCACTCTACTAGATCTATACAGATAATAATCAGGCTTTAGATCACATTCATGCACCAATGGGTCACACATCAAAGGCAGTGAGGGGTTCAGTGTCTTGCCCAGGGACACTTCGGCATGCGACCGCTGGTGGAATCGAACCCCCAACTCTTGCAATGGAGGATGACTGCTCTAACCACTCAGCCACAGCTGCCCAGTAGTAGAAGAATCAAGGTGCTAAACTGGCTTGCCTGCAGTCCAGACTTCTAACTAAATGAAAATATTGGTCTCATCAAGAAACAAAAAATCAGCTAAGAAGGCCAGGACTGATGATCAGCTCGAATCCTCCATCAGACCAGAATGGGACAATGTCCCCCTCCAAAACCTCCAGCAGCTGCTCTCCTCAGTTCCCAGATGTTTACAGACTGTTATCATAAGAAGAGGGGGTGCTTCACACAATGGTAAACATGGCTCTGTCCCCACTGTTGTGAAGTGCGCTGCTGCCATACATTTAAAATTAACTTCTATTTGTGCAAATATTGTACAATTTCTTAGTTTAAACATTTGATATGTTTATTTTGTTCCATTGTATATAAAATAAGGTTTTATGAGATTTGCAAATCATTTAATTTAGTTTTTATTCACATTTTACTCAACAACCCAACATTTTTGGAATCGAGGTTGTTGCACACTACCCATGTGATTTCAGTTCGACTGAGCTGCTTCATATATTTCCAGTTGATGAAGCAGAAGGCGTGAGCAAATTCCTCAATGAAACGACAGTTCAGTGGAAGAACCTGGCTTTGGAGGTCCGAAGCGTTCGCAGCATGCTGGAAGAGGTGATTTGTAACTGGGAGAAATACAGCAGCACCGTGGCCGCCCTGCAGGCTTGGTTGGAAGACGCTGAGCAAATGGTCAACCAATCAGAGAATGCCAAACGAGTAAGTGGATTCAGCAACGAGAACTTGGAGATATGAGAGGAAAACTGGAAATGACTTTACATTTGAGACGGTATATTTGATAAACAGCTATAATTTAGCTGCTTTTGATATCATGCTCAGTTAAGCTCCTGTCTTGTTTCAGGACTTTTTCAGAAACTTTGCTCACTGGATCCAGCAGCACATGGACATGAACGATGCTGGCAATTTTCTCATTGAGACGTGTGATGAGATGGTCTCACGCGATCTAAAGCAGCAGCTTTTGCTGCTGAATGGGAGATGGAGGGAGCTGTTTGTCAAAGTCAAACATGTAAGTTGTTTACGATCAATGAATTTACCAATAAATGTATTTCCTGTTGAGCCAGAATCCGACTGAGCAGCAACTGCTGGAGATTAGTTGGGGAATGAAATTAAGTGTAATGAAACATTTGTGGGGGTGCATGAGTTACTGGAATTTTTAACATGTTAAAAAATATGTGACAATCCAACGGTCTAACCATCTAGTAATAAATATTTAGATGTTTTTTTAGGAAACGTTATGGATGTCAATGCATCTACTGCCTGAAATTCCAACATAGTCGTATAATAAACCAAGCTAAGAGAAAATGTCTGCATTTAGTTGTATGAACTGTATAAAAAATTAAAATGAACCAAGAATTAAAAAAAACATCAATGTTAAAGCTGCTGTTAGTCACCTGTTATAATCATCATGGTATCTAGATCCATGTGTCCTTCACTCTCTGACTGCCAAATTATTGGGAGGCAAACCGTGTGAAGTTTGTAAGTTATATCTTGAAAACATTATTAAACAGGATAACAATCTGAAGGTCGCACATACATTTTTATGTTTCAACAGTAATTTAGGTAGGAGATAAAAGAGCTGTCCAGTTCTGAAGATAAAGTTTGGAGATAAAATACCACTTCTTCAGGGCTGCTGTGTTCTCCCTGTGAACACACAGGTTTTCTTCTAACTAACAGCAACATGTCTTGTTGGTGGCTTGATCACAAACACGTTGCATTTAGTGAGACGTTGAAAACTTCACCATTAACACAATTTTGATTCACCAACTAGTTTCCAAAAGCTGCAGCCCTGTGAGATACTGGCTTTGCAAAACCGAAGTTAATCAAAATAATTTATGACTTTCTTCTTTTTTATTGGCAGTATGCAAGAGCAGATGAAGTCGATAAGTTGAGGCAGGACTATCATGATGGGATTAATACCTTGAAAATATTCATGGATGCAACAAATGAGAAGATGACTGCTCCTGTTCAAGTGTCTTTCCTGAACGTCAGAACTTTTGTTCAAGACGTTGAGGTAAACCTCGTCATCCCATCCCTATGTTGTTTGCTTCAGTTCTGAATCACCTTGTTTGATATTTTTCCTCTTCCTTTAGGAAATCAAACACAAAGTGCCAGCAATGGAAGCAGCCTGCAAGGCTGCGAGCCGTACGGCTCAGCTGTTGACCAAAGACACTCCTCAAGAGGAGATCTCACAGATGATGACTGTGATGGCTTCAATCAAAGAGCAGCTGAGTAAGGTGAGCTTAGTGTCTGCAAAAAGTGGGATGATAATGTTTTAGATACAAATATGGTTGATACCTATAGAAACCAAACGATGCTTCATTACTCAGGAAAAGCCATTCAGTTAAAAGCAATCATCTCATGTTTATCTTCATGCCTTTAGTATGTGATTAAGTAAACAAAAAATGGCAAATAACTGGTTTATTGTTTGTTTAGCAAAGATATACTAAAACAGTATGGACAAACCCCACATGACTTGTCTTTTTTGTTCTTATTATTGTGGAATGGTACCAACCAAACTGTCCGCATCTCTAGAGCTCGTTTAATTGTTCAATGTAGTTTATTGTGCCTTGACGGTTTAGTCTTTTTCCATTGTATACACTTATTTAACCAGGTTAGGGACAGATGTTTGCCTCTGCTGAGGGAGTCTCAGTCCCTCTTACCACCACTGGAGGAAATGGAGAAGAACATCACGGGCTTCTACCAAGCTCTGGAGAAGGCTAGTCATATCACCAGCAGCACAGACTCTGAGGGACCAGTAGACTTTAAACAGAAATGCCAGGTAACAAGTATAACGTTGCATTTTAAACAGATTTAATGCTTAGAGATTAAAATATTCATTCAAAATTCAAAGTTAAGTTTGTCATGTTTATAGCCCACTGCTTAACATCAAAAATAGAGTGATAATAATTGTGTTCCAGTCTTGTGGGTGTGTGTGTACCTGCATGTATTGTTGTGCTTCAACTTTACTCAGGTTTATACCGTCTGTGTTTTTTAATATGCAGACCGTTGGTATTGACCACAGCAGAGTTTATTTTTCTTTGTAGAGAAGTGAAGATTTGAGACAAACAATGCATTTCATTGAGGACGACAAAGATGATGTTACTGATATATTTTACCTCTACGTTAGATTTATTGTTCTGGATAAAGTTTTAACAGCAATAGCCTATGCTAGGTTATCTTAGCATTAGTTTGCTAACTTGAGAGGCACATAGCTAATGACAAGCAGGATTGAAGAGAATTTTTTATTGTTGATTTATTTATTTTACAAATCAATAAAAATAAACTCACCATGCTCTGTTCAGCAAAATACACTACAAAGTTTTGATGCCTGCTGGTCATATTCACAAACTTTTAAGAATTAGCTCACGCCCTTCTTGTCCATTAACACAACAGGAGCTTGCAACCTGCACACACAGCTGTAAGAAGTGCCTGACTGTCATAGAGAGGAACCATCAGAGCATCCAAAAAATCATGAGCGCCAGTAATACCCTCCAACACATGGACATGAGTCTGCTGCAGAAACGAGTGGCGGATCTGCAGAGCTCGTCTCAGGTAACCCCACTTTAATGCATTTATTGTCCGAACTCTGAGTTAGCTTTTACACTTTTGTTTTCCTGTTTTGCATTTTTTAAATCTAACTACTTCTGTATATGCCATATTGATTTATGTAGATTTCATATTTATGAGATATTATGACTTTTGTTTATTGTAGCTTGTAACTTTTGAACATATTTTATTTACAAATACTGTATCATTCATCAAAATACTTCAGTTCCTTTAAAACTTTTTTTTTAAAATCTGCTTTGGTATTCTTTGTTTTTAGCTGCTGTTTTGCTACGAGCTAGCTTCTTGTTACTTTTAGCTTTTAACTAGCCTTTTGATACTTTTAGCTAGTGTTTTGTTTTTGTAGCTTTATGAAGTGTTTTGATGCTTTTAACTTTTAGCTAATGTGATGCACCTTTAAGCTGTTCGGTAATGTTTTGCTTCTTTTAGCTTTAACATCTCAGTTTCATCTTCTTCAGACAATTCAGAAAATTTAAGCGTTTATTCAATTTTTTTTTTTTTTACAGAAAATGTATTTTCGCTACTTAAACCAAATAAGCATTTAGAAATTGAAATAATGATTTGTGTTCAGAATATGATTAAGGAATCAACAGAGTGGCGGAAGCACGTGGAGGCGAACAGCAGCCTCATGAAGAGATTTGATGAGTCACGACTAGAGCTAGAGAAGATACTTAAAACGGCACAGGACTGTCTGACTGAAAGAGGAAACCCGGAGGAGCTGATTAAGAAACACACAGTAAGAATCTTTTTTAATCTTTCGCTGCCAAAGGTGAAAGGGCAAAATGATTTTTGCCTGTTTCTGTTTGTGTGTTTTTGTCTGTTGTGTTAGCAAATATCCCATGGATCACTTGGCAAATTTTAAATAATCTTTATTTTTGGATGTATGTGCACAACTGATTAACTTTTGGAGTCAATCTATTTCAAGATGGCCGCTTCGGCTACTGAACATTACCCTCCCCCTAACTGAGCCAGATATTGAGCTGAAGCTTGGTGTGGGAATGAGGTCACTCCCAACACATACTGTGAGCATTAACATGCCTTGCATGTTATTGCTTTTAACTTTTGACCAAATTTACTGCAATTTAATATTTTTTCAACCTTAACACTTACGACTGTGTGTGAGCGATATGCATTCCTTCAGGGAATGCTTGGATTTCAGTTAACAACTGCTCAAAGGCTCATGGGAAGAGTTCAAAAATAAGGTTGGGTCATAATTGTCCCTCGTCATGGAGTGAAGAGGGGGAACTGGAAATACCCTCAGTCCGTCCATCTGTGGATGTTGTGAGCATGATGACCTGAAAAATGAACGAGTTACAGACTTCCATTTAGGTGCTTGGCTACATCTAGGCATAAGAAAGGTTCCTTTTGAAAATTGGGTTGCCACATCTAAATCCAAGATGGCCTCTGACATACATACATATATGCAAATATACCACCCCATCATAGATTTTATATTGCTTAAAAGTACAGTTTCCTTAAATAATTGGGGTGGCCGGTGGGGTGGCCGAAGCTTATTCTATGTATGGTGGTCGAAGCCACCACTGACCACCCCCTGGCTCCTCCACTGCACATGGTGGTGGATAGAATTGCTCCCTCCACTCACCAGGATCATCACTCTGCTGTCCTTTACAATAAAATTAAATGAATAAATAAACTACCTTTCATCTTTTAACTCTTATCCACTTAAATACCTTCCATCAAAAACATTAAGGTTTACTTGCATTGCCTGTTCAATTCCAGTCCAGAAAAACACTCATCTCAAAAAATGCAAACATTAACTACTGAAGTCTCTCAGTGACGGGACATTGAGGTACCACATGTATAAACTGTGTTAAATGAACTGCAAACATATTGAACCAGAGAGTAAGTGACACAGATGTATCTTGGTGAGATAAGACAACCGTTAGATTTTTTTAAATTATTTTTTCAGGAATTCTTTGGACAGCTGGACCAGCGGGCTCTAAATACATTCCTCAAGGCTTGTGATGAGCTGACAGACATTTTGCCTGAACAGGAGCAGCAGTCACTGCAGGAAACCGTTAGGAAGCTGCATAAGCACTGGAAGGTTGGTAAAATAATCCATTCAAAGTACAAGTTTTGGACACGTTGGTAATAAATATCTTTACATTATTTTCTGATTTTTATTTTCAAAATACGTAAAATCTACAGGATTTTTATCATTCTGTCTAAATAATAAGAACAAACATATTGTTATGCCAATTAAAACTGTTTTTGTTGGAGGAGTGGTGGAGCAGAGGTTAAAGAAGGCGAGCCTGTGATTGGCAGGTCGCTGGTTTGAATACCCCTGACTGTTACATCAAAATGTGGGTGAGAAAGGTGAAGCACCCACACCTGCCTCCACCTTCATTTACCCCACTCTGGGCCCTTGAGCAAGGCCCTTAACCACCAACATCTGCTCCCCTGGGTGCCCTAGATGTCAGCCCTCTGCCCCACACTTGTGGTCTGTGGTTTTGTCAGGAAGGGCAAACTATAGTTTCTAGTTGTTTTTTTTTTGTTTTTGCATAAATGTATAATTTCCTCAAACGACTGGGGTGGCCAAAATCAGTCTACGGTGGCCAAGGCCACCAATGGCCACCCACTGGCTGCACTTTGCACCTGATCATGGATAAAATTACTCCTGCCACTCACCAGAATCCGTGATTCTGTGCTTTCTCAGAATGTCACAACACAAAAACCAAAACCCACCTCTATTCTTTTACACAGTGTAACACCTACATACTTTAACATTTTGCTTCAAAAACATTAAGGTTTACTTGCATTCCCTCAATTCCAGTCCAGAAAAACATTCATCTTGAAAACTGCAAGTGTTACTATTCAAATTAGAGCACAGCTTACCAAAAAGTTACATTGCTGGACACGTTGTACAGTTACGCTTTTTGAAAGTAAGGACACTGCTTGTTCCCAGTGTTTATTTATTTTTTATCACATATATCATCTAACCCTAACTCCTGGTACCATCAACATCAAAATGTGGGTGGAAAAGGTGAAACACCCACACCTGCCTCCACCCTCATTTGTCCCACTCTGGGCCCCTGAGAAAGGCCCTCAACCCCCACCATCTGCTCCCTAAACAGGTCTCTCTTGAAAATGAGTTCTGGTGGCTCAATGAGACTACCTGGATAAATAAAGGGTAAATGAAAAAATAAATTATCGGTGCATAATGGGACAATTATCACCGATGCCGATATGTCTTATATCGGGCCTAAAGTATCAGCCCATACCGATATATCAGTCAGGCTGTAATTCAAATCCCTCAGCTATGGGGGACATTGGTGTATGGCCTTTAAAGTTCTTTTTTTTAAATAAAGATCACTGTGGAAAGAAAATGTAAATGCAGGTATTTTCCTTTTTTCAGGATATACAGACAGATTCCCCCTTTCACCTTCTGCACCTGAAGGTGGAGGTGGAGAGGAACAAGCTAATGGCATCACTGCAGGAGTGCCAGGCAGAGCTGACCAGGGAAAACCGCCACCTAACGAGCATGGGGAGCGAGAGGCTCATCAAAGAGCACAGGGTGAGCAAGTTGAGTATATTATTTGCTGCTGCCAATGGTGAAAGGTGGTGAATGGTTTTATCGCGTGTGCGTTGGTTTGTCTCTGTCCAATTAGCATTTAGTGTAACAATGTGGAAATAGATGATTTTAATGCATTGATGAAAGTTGACACTCTTTCTGTCACTGTATTGTATTCACATCATTACTTCTCTTGTGTACAAATGTCATCAAGGCCTTTTTTAGGGAGAAAGGACCCCAGTCCATATGTGAGAAAAGGCTGCAGGTAATAGAAGAACTATGTCAAAAACTCCCCGAGAGTGACCCTGCTCACCAAATACTGGAAACCGTGAGAAAGGACTTGGATGAGGTCCGAGAGGAAATCGAGAACACTCATCAGAAACTAATGCAGCACCCAGACAAATGGAAGGAGTACAATGCAAGGTACAGTATTTTAAGAAATACTTTTTTCTGGTTAAGTTTGAAACATAAAAAAAAATGTATTTTGGTTTTGAGTTGCCCCAGGCTTTAAACTGGAGCTGTTGCAACAATACGAACGACACTTTGTGCTTTGCCTTGCAGTGTCACGAGCTCTCTTCATACCCAAAGTAATCACATTAAAATTCTTCCTTCACTTTAGACTGAAAGCAGTTTTTGTTTGTTGCACTTTTTTTTCACTGCAAATGATTTTAATTGAAGACAATAAGTTACATCACGTCTTCCTTGAAAGACAAAATGCTTTGATCAGCCTGGTCTAGCATACTTGTGAGTTTGAAGTATAAAACCCAATTTAGTTATTTAAAAACATTACAATTTATCTATATGACCTATTTTTATGGAAGGTGCATAAGAACAATAAATGTATTTTGTTATACTGTATGTGCTTTAAAATGTTATAATTATACTAAGAACTTTTATTGAAAACTTGTATAGACTTTTTTCTTTTATAACTTGGATTTTTAAGGGTGCTATTGCATTATTCCATTTTGATACGTTAACCTGTATTTACTTATTTATTTTTACAAAATCACAGATTAAGTTTTAGGATTTTACAGTATTTTCCCACAGTGCTCGACTGACAGTTGATGATGTTACTCTAACTTTTGAATTGTCTAAAGTTTTCAAATCACTGATAAACTGAGATGTGTACCAGCGGTTGGACATTAAGGAAGGAGAGAAGGGCTTGTATTGACTGGTAATACAGCAGGATCAGGCTGGAAAGGATGTGCAGCAGGTTAGGCTTGTTAGAAATGGTAATGTTCTAACAAGCAAGGAGAGTGTGTTGGGAAGGTAAAAGGATCACTTTGAGGAGCTAATGAATAAAGAGAAAGAAGAGTAAGGTCATAGAAACTGTGGACCAGGACAGAGTGAGATGGAGGAGGATGACTGGCTGCGGTTAAACTCTACTTACTCTCTTATAACTCGTACATGTTCACATTACACATGATTTGTTCTTCGTTCACCCAGTGTGTCTCTCGCTGCTTTAGGACTCTTTCAAATCCCCCCAGAATGCAGAGAGTGAACACCTAAACTTAGAGTTAAAATGTAGTAAATCTTTTGTAAAGCACATTTCATATGGCAAACAGAGATTCAGTATGCTTTAAAAAAACAATTCTAAGCTAAAACACATTCACCATGTTCACCATGTTAAACCAAAACTCCAGGCACACATTTTCTTAGATTTAAAAGAACAGATGGAGTTGTTAAACATGTCTTTACTGCTAGCCAGTGGGGGGCACAGCTCACCAAAAAGTTAGCTTTGCTAACCGCTAATTTGCTAACTAAAAACTTAGCTTTGCTAAAGCTAAAGCAATAATTTTTATCATCCACTGCTGTCTCTGACTCTGTAAGACTGTGTGTAATGTGACATTGCTGTAAGTGAACACAACTCAAAACGGTTTATAAATCACAAGTAAAGCGTCCGTGTCCCGTTCAGAGGTGAGCTTTCAGAAATGACTCCGGTCCATCAGAACCAAAGAGGCGGAGCAGAACTCTGTGTGTCGGACGTCTCCCTCGTGTCATTTACTTTAATGAATTAACTCGCTTTGGTGATCCTCTTTGTTATTAACTACTTTTATAATTAACTACAAAGTTGCTGTGCGTCATCATCAATATTCTCTTGGTAATAAATCTACATTAAAGTAAAGATGTGTGAAATGTGTGAGGTGTCACATCCCAGAGACAGTGTGAGCGTTGCAAAGCATGCTGGGTAGGAATTGTGTGTGCAGTGTTTGACTGTTTTTGATGTTTCTGAGTGTGAAAATGCATTTTTCATGGTTTTTCCTGTTCTGGTTTGGTTTGGCCTAATTTATGTTAAAGACTCTGCTATTGGCTGTAAACTGACACAGGAGTCAGAGACTGATTGTGGTAGATATGGGGGGGGGGGGACTGCAAGGGTGGTGACATCACCAGGTGGTGCTTAGTTCAGCATAGCATAGCTCTGTATAAATCAGTGTATTCCTGTACACGTTCAGTGCAGAGAACCATTTAAAAAGAGGTTGGCTCGAACTTTTATCAAATTTAAATTTATCAGAAGTGGAAAGGATTTCAAAGTAAGCAAAAACGTTAATCTGCTTAACAGAAAGTTACTTCTGGCATTAACAGATTAGCGGAACCGTGCTGACCATTGCTGCTACAATCATCAACAACAAAACAAAATATGACAAGACTGCTTGGACAAAAAAACAACAATTTACAAATTGCTCTGTCTTCTTTCTAAAGAGGGCAGCACATTTATTATAAAGTTATGTTTGATATTTTGGGCAGCAGTTGCATTTTGGCACCCTTTAACATGTCTTCAGAATTTTTCCAATTTATTTATTTGTCTTTTATGGTGTTGAACAGATATGCTGAACTTTCCTGTTGGCTTATATCTAAAGAAAGTCAACTGAGGCTGCTGAGAAATCGAGCTAGTGATCCCAGAAAATATGGCCAGGTGAAGTCTACCATCATGGTGAGTTAGTCTGTGTGATAAACCCCAACAGTCTCCTTGCTGCTTCATTTGATGTGCCGTCTGTTCTGTAGCATCAGATGGCATTTTAGTCCAGATGGGTTGAATCACCTTGTGTTCCTGTTTGCAGGAGCTGAGAAATGACGCAGAGCTACAAGAGGGGAACCTGGGCTGGCTGAAAGCTCGTATGGCTGTGCTGATTGAAATCTGTGCTGACAGCGATGCCCAGAGGCAGGGCAGCACACTGAGCAAGCTTTCCACTGACTTTAAAGGTCTTCTTACTTCTCTCTTAGAGGTAAGTGAAAGCCAACAGAAACAATATTGTCTGTGCAAATCTCTCTCACCAACTTTGTTTATACAGAAGAACCACACTCAACGGCAGGAGGACATTGTTAACCGGATTTTTTAACTTGCGAGGACTCATTCAAGACAGATTACATACGTAGATGCACAAATGTTGGGCTGCCTTCAGGTCCAGGCCTTCCTTGCAAAAGAGATCCGTGATCTCAATGGGATTTGCCTGGTTAAATAAAAGGTTAATAAATAAAAATGCATATGTATGGAACACGTCAGACTAATGAGCCACGAGCTGCGCTGTCTGCTCACTTTTATATCCCTCTCAGCTCAGCCAAGTTCACGGAGTTCAGGGGGTGTCCTTGAAGCCAGCTGCAGTCTTCTTACACAGCACTCTCCATTTACAAAAACATGGTTCATGGGCAGAGAGGAGATAATGTCTCGAGAGATGGTTTCAGCTTGTTTTGGGCTTCTTGTCACAGCAGAGGGGAAGTGTCACAATCCTCAGTGTTTGGATCCATATGCAGGCAGGAGTTTAAAATAAAAATACCTCAAATACTACAAACATTCACGATTAAAGTCTCTCAGAGACACAGGAAACGTGGGTATATCGCTTGCTGAGATTTGTCTTTACATTTTCTTTCCACTGAATACATAAAGCCGCAATATAAGCAAACCTAACAGAGTGGGGTGATTGATGTAAATTGTTCCAGTTAACATGAGGTTAGATCAAGAAATGCACACAATTTTCCTGAACTTAATTTAGAAATTTTTGAAAAATGTATAGAATTCAACATTTGACCAGTTTTATGTACTGATTTTGGTCAAATGTTACAGATGTTACATTAATACATAATTATTTTGCTTGTGTATGTGTGTCATTTCAATGATTGGTTGTACATCTACAACCATTGCTGTACTAAAGCTAACTGACCTTAGAAAATATAAAAATGGTTGCAACTCTGTTAGTTCTGCAGATTTTTTGGTGTGGCGTTAGCTGAGAATCGCTCACCACAAATACTCTGAGAGCTAACAGATCCAGTGAAATGATGCAATCGAGGTTGGACCAAAACAGTTATATTTTGTCAATTCTCATCACAAGATGACCCCAGTTCAAAACTCTGGTCGATGTGCATTCTTTTAAAGAACGCTAGGCCTTTAACGTATGACTACGAGTCAACATTAACCTTTCTCTTTCTTTGTTGTATCTTGTGTAAGGCTGAAAAGATGGTCCTGGCTGTGGGAGACTGTGTACAGTTCAGAGAGGAGGTACAGAGTACTCTGGAGGACCTGGTTCAGGTGCAGAAAGAGGCACAGGCCGAAGCGACCAAAATACTGGATTGTTCAACTGCCAGAGAAGCCCAACAACTGCTCCTTGTTCACCAGGTAGGGATCAGTTTGAATTTGATAGATTATCTTTTGTTATTCAGAACATGCTCATTTTTGCTCCCATTAATCTTAATAATACCTAGAGAAACTGCTGAACTAATATTGAATACTGAATCACATTTTAAACATTTTCAATCTAAAACTAAGATTGTAAGCCTAGAACAAGCAGAACAGAGACTAAAGTGAGTCCAAAAAAGCTTGAATGAGCAGAACACGAGGTACAAGCAGCGGGACATTAGGTTAAAGCAACAGCTAAAAGGAGCAGAATATAATCCCAAACTGTTAAAACATAAGCTAAATTAACAAAACAGATGCCAAAATTGGCAGACCAGTTACTAAACTAGATTTTATTTTTGTTGTTGTTGCAAAAATACAAGTGTATATTGACATGCATGATACATTGCATGATGTTATTACTGTAACCAAACTTAGCAAAGCTGTAGCTAAATGCTAAAAGGAGCAGAATGGGAGTTAATTGCTAAAAGTTGCAGAACAGTAGCTAGAAGCTTAAGGCAGCCTAAGAAGACGAAGAAACTTGGAGATCTGTGAGAATTCTATTTTAAGTAAAGTTACATAGTTTAAAAGTATAAAAGTTGTAAAATCAAGATTCCATAGCGTACTGTTCCTGATCAAACTGAATATTTAGCTGTAAGAATTGTTACATTAGCACACGGAAGTAGTTTGATTGCAAAAGCCATGCGATGAAAACTATTTCAGACTGATCGTTTTTCTTCCCACAGCAACAGCTAAAGCGCCTGAAGTTGAAGAGGAAGGAAGTCCAGCATCTGGTCACCAGAGGTCAGCAGCTGCAGGCGGAGGAGGGACTGGGAGAAACCCTGCAGCAGGATCTGCACAGTTTGGAGAACACACTCAGTAAAATGGAACAGAATATGGACTCACAAGAGAAAAACCTCGAGGTAAGCTAAGTGTAGAAACCTTACAGCACAGTCTGCCAGTACCAACAGGATGTCTCGCTCCTTTTATTTAAAAAACATTGGCCACATTTTTTTCCTCATCAGCCCTGATTTGAAACAGGATTTCCTCGTTGCAAAATGTGTGTCATGTGGCATAAAACACTAAAGAATGTCAAGATTACCTTCAGTTCATTTTACTTCTCTGTGTTCAGAGTAGAAGAGCAGAAAGACAGGAACTATCTCCTGTTGCTCCTATTAGAATAAGAATAGAATATATTTTTTTGTGATGTTTGATTCATGAGAACTAATGACAACATTTATTTTAAGTTATTTTAATGTATCTAGCAGAAATTTGCAGGCATGAGATAAAAAAATCTTGAAAATAAAAACAATACTAATAATATAAAGATCCAGGTTTAACTTCTTGGTACTGCCTCACAGAGTATAAAAAAACATCTGTGCTAAAATGCTCATTATAACACTTATGAATGGGTTTTCTGAAGTGCATCATTATTGAAATACAGTCGTTCCATTTTTGGCTGCTTTTTGCCAAACGCCCCCCTCAAAATAAAAAAAAAAGATTTTACCAAAAGGTCATAACTTAATCATTTCTCAATTTAAACAATTGCAATTTAAAACTGACATAACGACAATAAAGTTGACTTGAACTTGAACATAAAAAGTGGCAGGCAGTATGTATTTATTTAATGCTATGCCTTTAATTATTATTATTATACTCTTATAATCCCCAAAGATAAAACTGATACTTTACATGTTTTCCCATCACACGTGAGCTGCCACCTAAGGTACCAAGGAGCAAGAAGAAGGGGTTTCTTCAAGAGCCCACAGTGGGTCTAACGAGGGTGGAGAGAGACCCGTGTGGGCATTTCAACTTTCCCACTCAACTTTTTGTGTTGGTTTAGGGAATCAAACCTACAACCTCCTGATCCCAGGCTCACCTGCTCTAACCTCTGCGCTGGCTCTCCCCTCATAATGATATCTGGATCCTGAAACACACAGTTTTTATCACATTTATGTTTGTGCTGTAATATTTTAAAAAGGCTAAATGTCAGTGTAAATACGCTGGCAGCTTGTTAAAAAACATCTACTGTTGTTAACGTCTTCAGTCTTTGTTGTTTTTGTTTATGACTAACGTCATGAAGTTAATTTTGATGTGTGATTATCCTCAGGTCACGCTGGCAGCCTGGCAGGAGTTTGACAGCCAACAGGAAGCGGTACGCGAGTTTGTCAACAAAGCTCGCTCGACAACTGGCAGAGACCTGAACTTCAGCAGTCCAGAGAGCCTGGCAGTCGAACTGGATCAGGCAGGGGTACGCACAGTCTGTAAAAAAAATACAAAAAGATAAAAACAAATATATATATATAATGTATTAATGTTAATGTCTCCCTTTAAAACACGAATAAAAAGGTGCTGTTGACGCAGTGTGAAGCTGAGGCCTTACATATGAACACGTTACTGAAGAGGGCAACAGAAATCCAGCTTGGTCCAAGAAACAAGACTCTGCTTTCACAACAAGCTCGTTCCCTCAGTGAACAAGTTCAGAAAGCCCAGACTGACCTGAAGGAAGAGTAAGAAAACTACAGAAACTGTATCTTACAGACAATGGATGTGAATGCAGAGTACTGAATGACAGCTAAAATCTGCTGGAGATAAATCTGAACGGTTAAAGGTAAAACAAGCAGAATAGAACCTAAAGTCAACAAATAATATGTAAAGATTTGCTAAAAATGATCAAAGTAACAAAACAGATGCTAAAGCTAAAATGGACCAACCAGTTGCTAGACTCAAAAGTATTTATGTAGCTCATTTAAAAAAGATGCCTGCTGGCCAAAGTTCTGCACACAAAACAATAAACGGTAAAAAAAATATATCAAACACAGAAATCACAAAAAATAAGCAAAATCAAAAATGTAATGAGACAGAAGATAAAACCACTAAAATGATTCAACAATGTAAACTCTCATGCTTTAATAAAACAGCTCAAATGTGTTGTAAGATGCAACTAAAAACATCAAGAGTTGAAGTTTCTCTGATACGAAGGTGAGCTGGACCAGCCTGGATTTCAGGACAACTACATCTATGGGACCTGGTGGCTGCAGGATGTCACCTACTTATATATAATTTATTTTTTAAAACGGTAAATATAGATAAAAATATACAAAAATCAAAGCACACTATTCATAATTAAGCTGAACATTCTTGTTAGATAAAAATATTCTCACTTAATCTTACTCAAAAAGAGCCACAGAAGATTTTTAAGTAAGCATATTAGTAAGTAGTATATTAGTATATTATAAGTATTGCAAGATACTAGATACTAGTTATTATGTACATATTAGATACTTGTTACTATATATGTCATGAGAATCGGCCACGGGCAGTGTGTGAAGCTTGTTTTTATACTCTTATCAGCTCCATCGAGCTCACAGACTCGGAGGTGACCTTGAAGCAACTTCTGCACCTGCAGCTCCTCATCCAGCTCTCTGCTAACCCAAACATATGGTTCATGGGCAGTTAACTTTCTCAGCCATACTAGTTAAAAACATCCATAAACTTTGACCAAAAATTCTCTAACAATTCTGATATGATTAAAATGAATTAAACTATGCAGAGGAAGTCTGAGTGCAACAACAACAAAAAAACATAATCAGTGAAACAATAGTGCTGAGTCAGCATTCATACTATTGAGATTATTTAATTACGAGTTAAAGGGAAGTTTAGCTGATTTTTAATATGAAATATGCTGGGACAAATGTAGTACAGGTGTGTTTGAAATTAGAAATATTTTAGTTTGATCTCGTAATAATAATTATCACGTGGCATTTTGTGTGTACAGTAAACTGTAAGGTATTTATCGTATCACTAAAGTAAGTATTTGTTTTATGTTTTTTCAATAGAGTGAAGAATCTGGAAGGAATGAAAAGTCAGTGGGATCGATTTGGAGCTGGATTTGAAGCATTTTCCTCATGGATATCTGAAAAGGAAAAAGAAGTGGATGTGATAAAATCTTCCTCTTTGCCTCTTGAGGAGCAGCTCAAAGGAGTAAAGGTAAAGCGCTGAACTACTGACACCTTGTGCATCCCAGTCAACGAGCTCCAGTCACAACAAAACATTTTCATTCCATAATCCTTGAGCAATGTTTTCCCAAGCCTGACCAGACTCTGTTTGTCCACATCACCTCAGGCTGTCATCATTTTTGCAAGTGTGTCTTCAGAAAAACGCCTTCAATCTACCAGTTGATCTCAAAGGTATTCTGGGTAGATGGCATGTCATTAAAAACAGACGTCAACCCATCATCCATCTATGAAGTTAGTCTCTTGATTGACGGAGAGGGCAGCCAGTCTGAAGCCCCGTTTAAACGACGTGAAACGCTCGTTCATTTACAGACAACGGCCTCATTCTCTCTGAAACTGAAGGAATCCAGGTCTCAGAGTGGAGATTTTCGGGGGAACTCCCCACGTAGGTGTGAAATACTCCAAGTGTGAAGTGGCACGTGCACACTCCAGGCGGCTGAGGTCCAAAGTTTTTCTGCACTAACAACAGTTATAATAAATATAACAACAGTTATAATAAATATAATAACAGTTATAATAAATATAACAACAGTTATAATAAATGCCAGACAGCAGAGTGTTTTTGTGCTGCTCACCCTTTTTCAGCATGTAGGAGCAAAACTAATAAAATCCAGGCTCCAAAGAGACGTTGGTGTATTCACCAGTTTGTACCAACTGTCATGCAGACGCTGCATGCACGAAGAATGCAGCTGAGCCTGCATCAGGGTTGCCAGATAAATGCAAAATGTCTTATTTACCCCCTCCTTTTCTGTGCACATGTTCAACAAACACACACCTCTTCTTAGAATATCTTTACTCAGCACATATGACAGTTTAGGTCAAAATACTATCATTTTAAAGCCACAGTACTATAGTTCATCATTTCTTATCTGGCAACCTGACTGATACGGAAACTACAGCGTTTTCATGTAAACCCGCTCATTTTTTGTTTATTACCCCCAGTAAACATTGAAGAAACACTAACGTTTCCAGAGGTTGTTCTCCTGCCTTATAGCAAGTAGATCACCTTGACTTGGTCATTTTAAAAGAAGCTGCATGATGGAAAAGTGTGGACACCTCTGCTGTACAGGATTCAGCTGTGCAGGGTGGGGGGGTGGGGGGGCAGACACAGAGGCGACTTCCATAGACACTCAGGAATTACATTTAACACTGATAACTGTAACTGAACAGTGTCTAAATCTATGATTTTAAAGAACAATAAAATAGGTACTAACACAGAATGCAAGATGAAGTTTGTGATGAGCTAATCTGATCAGTCACATCAAAACAGAGCACAGCTGTCATTAGCTTTACCTCAATTAACTTTTCCACAACGACAAGCATGAAGTGAGTTTTGTAAAGACATGCCTGTCTAGGTGTTGTTTCTAAAACATGCTTCTTGTTCATTGCTTTCTGTGCCAGACTGTTGGGACCGAGGTTCAAGATCGAGCTGAGCTTCTTTCTCAACTGGAAACAGACTCCCAGGCGTTGGCCCAGTTTGTGTCTTCAGGGGAGGCGGCTCGCATCAAGGCCCGTCTGACCCAAATCGGCAGGTACTGGGAAGATCTGAAGGAGAGTGTCCAGCAGCTTGATGGTCAGCTGGAGGAGAGCTCCTCTCACCAGCAGAAGTTCAAACAGAGCCTTGAAGAGGTAAATGAACTCCCTCATCCTGCTGCAGTTTAAAAAACAGGGCAGCTACAGTTTGTTTTGATCTTCTTTCAGGCTCGAGCTTCTCTCTGTGTGCTTCACACAAAACTGAAGAACCCCGTTAAATCCTGCTCTTCTTCATCAGAGACCTACAAAGCCCTTCAAACACACACGGTACAAAGCCCTCTTATATCTTAGAAAATACTGAATTTATATCCTCAGTAGAAAATATAGCGTGGATGCTGAGTGCTGAATGACTGCTGAAATTAGCCGAAGAAGCCAGAACAGATTTGTTATAGTTAAAACGAGCAGAAAAGAGGCTAAGCATACTTAAATCAGCAGAGCACAAGCTAAAAGTTGCAGAGCAGAAGCTAAAAGCAGCCAAACAGATGCCAAGTTTACTTTTAAGTTTACTATATCTAAGTCTAAGCAGCAAAACACTATCTAAAAGTAGAAAAAGCTATATGGCTAACTAGAAGCTAAAAGAAGCCAAAGTCTAGCTAAAAGTAGTCAAAGCTAGGTTAAGGTAGTAAAATAGTTGATTAAAACTAAAAATAGATAAATGGTAGCTAATTGCTAAAAGTGGTGGTAAGGTAGCTAAAAGCTAAAAAAGGTTTGTAGGCTCAATCATCCAGATAGATAACAAAAGAAGGTAAAATCATTTCATCTGGTCCAGTTTCTTAGACGAAATGTTTCCCTTAAAGAAACTGGTCCAGATGAAACGAGCTAAAAGTAGCTAAATGGTAGCTAATTGCTAAAAGTAGTGGTAAGGTCACTAAAAGTAACTAAATAGTAGCTAAGTAGTAGCTAAATAGTAGCTAATTGCTAGAAGAGGTGGTAAGGTAGCTAAAAGCAAAAAGTAGCTAAATGATAGCTAATTGCTAAAGTGGTGGTAAGGTAGCTAAAAGCTAAACATAACTAAATGGTAGCTAATTGCTAAAAGTGTAATGTAGCTATAAGCTAAAAGTAGCACAAGACGGTAAAATAGAACAAGTTGAAGCAGAGATTAACTAGAAAATTTTTTGAAGGAATTTGATATTTCAGTTTACTTTGAGGGGGGATTTTATTTTAAATCAAGTTAAATATTTTGAAAACTTTAAAAGTTACTAAAACTCAGCCAGCTACTAGAAACTAAAACCTAGAAACTAATTATGTCAATGCTAGCTCAGCGTCACACAATGAAACGTCAGTTGTCCTTCGTGTGGCAGCATCAGTTCTCCAGCGGTTCTTGTGGCTAAACGTCACGTGTTGTTGTTACCAGGACGTCTGTCAGGGCCTGGAGCAGCTGAAGGGAACCTTGTTGTTGCTCTCTTCGGCTGCTCGACGGCTCAGTGCCAAGGAGGAGGCAGTGAGGACCGTCACGCAGCTCAACACCAGCTATGAACTGGACCTACAGGAAGCAAAGGACAAACAGAGCGCTCTGGAGAACCTGCTTTCACTCTGGCAAAAGTATGAAAGTAAACCTAACGTACAAACTTCATATATGAAGACATGCTTTTAGTTTAATTCAATTACAGGGTTAAAACAAATTAATAAATGAGATTACCCCTTGCAAAAAAAAAATTAAAGTGAAACAATAGCTTCTGCTGTCTGAGACGTCGGTGTTTGTAATCTGAGTTAGGTATGAGAAACAGCTCTCGAACTTCACGGCCTGTCTGGAGAGAAGTGAGTCAGCATCCAAATCAGAGAGTCCGTCTTTGTCAGCGGACAAAGCCAAGCTGCACGCTGAGCTGCAGGAGCTGCAGGTACAACACAAACATACAAATATGTCTTTGCCCTGAGATAAAGAGTAAGTTATAAAACTTTTGTTTTTCAGGCCCTGCAGCTTGAGGAGCAGGGCCTTGAGAGGGCTCATGCTGACTTGGTGTCTTTGGGCACTTTACTTCATCCCACTGCGCCTGAAGAGAGAGTGATTCAGCTAAAAGATGAACTTTGGACTCTACAGAAGAGACTGACTGTTCAACAAGAAGTCATCCCTCAAAGGTAAGGCACTATGAAAGGAAACATGTAACAGTCCATGGAGGTGTGCACAGTTTGGAAGGATTAAAATAAACTGCATGAATCACTAAGTTAAAGAAACACTCTCTGACTCTGTCCAGAGTGATTCTAGCCGTTTCCTCCTCGTAGGGACACGCTCTCATGCCATTGGCATCTGGTTCTCCAAGCTGACGGCTAATGTTGAGTCAAGCCACATGAAAATAAACGCACAGATGCCTCCGTCCCCGTTATCTTAACAGACTGAGGGACACATCAAGTAATGAGAGGAGACGGAAGAAGAGTGCGTGAGACTCACAGCAGGACAAACTGCAGTAGCAGCATGGGGGTGGCTGAGTGTGTAGGACAGGCTACAAGTCTGTTTGGAGAAGATTTAAAATAAATAATTACTGTAGTGTCCGGCGTATAAGTCGCATTTATTGTACGTCACCGCTGACTCGTTTATTATGCGTTTATTTAATGGTCAAAACAGCTTCATTTCGCCTGGGCGGCACGGCGCCATCCATCCATCCATCCATCCATCCATCCATCCATCCATCCATCCATCCATCCATCCATCCATCCATCCATCCATCCATCCATCCAT